CTCCGCCCCCCAGACCCCCCTTTCTCCAACACAGAAATGATCTATCTGCAGAAAACTCGATTTTTCGCCGTTTTACAGGTGTTTTTCCGCTATAAAAACTGAACCAGTTGAGCTAGGATACTGAAATTTCACGTGTGCCGAGCCAAGGACATACCCAAAAAGTGTGCAAAATCTCACCGAGATCGGCCGAGCCGTTCAGGAGGAGTAGTGCGGACAGACAGACCGACAGACAGACAGACAGACCGACAGACAGACAGACAGACAAAACTTTTCAACCCCACTGAAGTAACAGGCTTCGCTATCGCTCAGCCAAAAACGAGACATGGCCGTCCTTACTAAGGTGACACTTTATCCCGGCGGAGAGGAACCTCAAGCGGCTACGACTCCCACTCGCAGTATGGCCAGTCAGGGTGAAGGAGTACATCCCCCCCGAGGGGGTTATGCAGGCCTCCACCCCGGAACAGCCTCTGCGAGCACAACCGGTTCCGGTGCCCCCCTGCTTCGTCCCCTTATCTCGGGGATCAACGGCGTCCTCTTGGTCCAAATCTTGATGCATTGAGAAAGGTGTGCTTCGCCCTGCCCCTCTCTTCATGCGACCTGTGTCCTGGCGAGAGCATCCTGCGACCTTGCCGACAAAATAGAAAGCTTCAGGCAACCAAACACCCGACCGACTACACACCAAATCGCCGTGCTGTGCATGTTGCTCTCGGATCTGCGATCTGGCGGCAAAAGAGACATCCCACTGCGGTCTACCTGTAGACATGACCTCCTGTGCGCGGCCCCGTCGCCCGTCGCCACGGCACATCATCATCATCATCATCAAGGGCTGGAGCACATATGATCGTATGCCATTTCGGGCCCGACACATGCCCGCCTGCACTGCAAAACGGGACATGGTCGTCCTTACTAAGGTGACACTTTGCTGTAGTTCATGTTCCGTCAGTTTCAAAGCCTGTTTCGGCAAATTGATTGAAGAAATGAGCAAAGCCACATGCTTGGTCATCTGCCTCATGATCTCCCCTTTCGAAAAATGTATGGGTTGATACGTTTCGGACTGTTTTCTGAGCCAGGGAAGGCCTTTTTGTAAGGATTGGGGCCGTTGCTCGGTGGGACCTTTTGCTCGGGACTTGCTCGGGACTTGATCGGGACTTGCTCGGCATTTGCTCGGCACTTGCTCGGGACTTGCTCGGTACTTGCTCGGTACTTGCTCGGATTTGCTCGGATGTCCCTCGACACTTGCTCAGATTTGCTCGATCCCCAAATGTGTCACGGGATGGCCACAGTAAACGCCGTTAATTGGAGCCTGATTTGCAGTACTTCGGTGCTCAGCGGCGTCAAACTCACAGTGTTTACTGTAGACCAGATCACAGTGAACACCGTGAACAAGATCACAGTGAATCGCGTGAGCAGATCTCAGTAAACGCTGTGAATTGACCTACAGTGAAAACTGGTAATAAATTAACGGCATCGACAGGACATTTTTGGTAGAGTGTAACTGCCTGCGTAGTGCACAATTTCCAAATGCATGCTTGGCAAGTACACACTTACAAACGGAAGCTTGGCGCAGTATAAATCCATGCTAAGCATAGGCGTTAGTGTGTACTTGACAAGCATGCGTTTGTACCTGTGTACTAAGTAGACAGTTAGGTTTGTAGTGTAATAGATTTGAAGCCTGTCGTCATTTGGCATTTCATGTAAGGGAGAGTGGGGTAATTCCGGACGCGGGGTGATTCCGGACACTTCGATTTTCACTGGGTTTGAGTAAAGATAACTCAAAAGCCCGCCTGGCAGAGGAAGATAATCAGTTAAAAATGATAATCCCAAATAGCCAAGGTATGAGGTCAAACCGTTTGGCTGTGGTCGCTTCACGAAATTTGAGTACTATCAAAAATAGGCAAAAGCTGCATCTTTCCCTCGTATTTCCATGTCCTTATCGTACCTTACTGTCAAGTTCAGTCCCATGACTAAAATTTTATCATATTATATGGTCTTTGGACTTTACTTTGACGTTTCGGGAGTGCCCGTATGGCTCGCCGTTTTCTTACAATTGAACATCAAAGGTTTTCACTACCTGTGGGGTAAATCCGGACAAGAAGTGTTATTTTCTTGAATTTCCCGCATAATGTTAAGGTAGTGGGTTCAAAATTGTGGACATGCAGCCCCACCGTTAAGGAGGATAAAGAAAGAACGAAAGATAGCATTGCAGCTATGTTTAAGAGCTTTACTCAAGACAGTGTTGTCAATTTAGGGGTTTCGATAGAAACTTTTCCTGATAACATGCTTTGAGTAATAATCAAACACTTTAGTTCGCAGCAAATGTCCTTGTGGGCTTTCTGAAAGCATGCCTCACATCAAAACAAGCGAAAGTAAGCTCGAGTAGTGTCAAATTTTACGGTCGTCCGGAATTGCCCCATAGGTCGTCCGGAATTGCCCCAGCCTGGGGTAATTCCGGACACGTGCAGGGCTTTTGTTAGGCGCCTATATCTCCCTAACCGTTGCTGAGATTTGGCTTTCATGTATATCATTTTGAAGGTAAAGGTCCATACTTTACTCTCCTGCAATAACATTTGACCCAAGAAGCGTATTCAAGCTCAAAGACCAAAAAGAAAAAAAAGCGTCCGGAATTACAAGACTTGTTTCACATCACTTACACCACAAACCTAGCCAAACTGAGACAACATGCTTGAATGTTTGGCCGGGATAATGTCATTTGATTAGGCATGGCTGTCGAACAATGACATATTCGAGTTAAAAGTAGTAAAAACGTCCTTGACAAAGCACTTGTAAGATAAACTGAGTAACCATCTTGAATTTGTCTGCAAACTGCGCGAAACACCGAATCACGTTATTCACCGCTTATCGTGTGAATAGAACTCGGTCGTGTACGCGCCGACCGTGCCGTGACGAGCCCTTGTTGTTTTGGTTCGGGGCGGGGCGGGGAGCGGGGGAGTGAAGGGGAGGTGTCGTCGTCGTCGTCTGTGCAGTGAGTCATTTTCCGAAATATTTGAATTTGCGGCTGCTTTCTGTTTCAGTACCACGCTCGGTTCACTTTACGACTCCGCACGCTCGCTGTTCTTTTTTTTCTGTCTGCTTGTGATGTCAATGTTGCTTAGTTACGTTCTAGTTCTGTCGGATGAACTTCCGAACAGCGCCTAACCCTGCTGCGATGCTTACACAAACTTGTGTTGGCTTGTTCTGTTTCTTGTGCCGTGTTTTCCTAATCACTTCCATGTTTCTGTTTAAGGACTCCAGACGCCAGCCTTTAGTCGACGCCTGCGAGGAGAGTTTGGAGGGGTGCGAAACTGGGAGCCGGCTATGGTCGCGTGGACGACGCTAGGACGGAGCAATTCAAAGGCTGAAACCAAATCAACAGGGAGCGTCCGGTTCTTGTTGAACTCTTCATAAATGTTTGGTAAGAGGTGATATTAGAATTAGTCTGTAGAGCAGTATTCAAATGCACTCTGAAATGTTCAATATTTTCATGTTGTCACCGAGCCAATTTGTTTTTGAGGTGGCCTTGAGAAATTCCTCGAGTTCACTTTAAGCTTGAGCTCTGACCTGCATTCCATAGAACAGCTCCATTCTCTTGTCTTTTGAGCATCACTGGATCATATTCCATTCGTCTAAGTGTTCTTGAGGAAAGTGGGCGTTTCTAATTCGTGTTTCTGTTTTTAAAACTGGAGGCAATGCCTGAGTGCCAAAACACGGATACATCCATTTTGATTTGCTTCCATTAAGGGATGGAACAAGTTTGTAGAGAATGCTCTAATTTTATTTTGACTGTTGCTAAGTTATTGCTTTGTTTTGTCCATTTTCAGGATGAAAGCCTGGATGTGTCAGTCCAGCCCCGAGTTTCCAATGGCTACGCTGCTGATGTCAAGCAGACACCACTTGGACTTCCTTCACCCTTTCCTGCAGATGACCAAGCACTCCTGCACGCCACACTAATTGTCTACATTGATGCACCACCTTCAGTAGCTGATTGTGGTTGGAATACAGGTAATTGGTGAGAAAGATAGAAGACTCATTAAATTATATCATATTTGTTGTCATGTTTTTGACAAGTCTGCTACAATACAAGAAAAATGGTCTTGAAACTTAACAAATGTTGCTTTTAACACTTCCTGTGTACTGTGATTTTGACTCTATATTTTTCTTATTTTTATAATAAATCAATTTTATTGGAATAATGTTACCAAGTTGAGGTTCAAGTTTCCTGTGGAGTTATGGTGACACTGCTGGGACTTTCATTTCTCTCTGCAGTTGTTTGGTTTGTTGTACGTTTTCCCCAGATCATTTCTTGTGATACCCTCTCGGGTTAACTCATCATTGTTAGGTATACCTAGGTCACCTTTTTTTTTTAAATCATTTTCATCTTAATGATCTTGGTCTTTTCTTGGAGTAGTAGAGTGAGAGTGAGGGTCTCCAAACTTGAAAGAATCTGATTTTCCCTCCATCAGAATGTCATTGCTTATTGATAATAATAATAATTTATAACACATAATATATTCGTGAAAATTGGGATGTCTTTTCTTGATGTTGTTGAGAGTGGGCCATGCTCGTACTTTTCACACAATCTGCATGGTGTCTTGATCTTTTGAGTTGTCTAAGCAAAAGGGGAAGTAGTTAGTCAAATTTAGTCTGAATAATGTTGCAGGGTGAAGCTCGCTACACGATGGAATTCAGCATGTGGACAGCTTGGACACGACAGGAATCAGCACCTTCATCACTTGTCACAACATCCTTTGACCCTCAAAGCTGGCTCTCAAGTTCTAGCCTTTTGTGATAGTCTTAAATAGATACTAGAAATATTATATTTTAGAATTATGTCCTCTCTGATGTGCTGTTAAAACTAATTTGGATGCTATTGGACCAGGTTAATAGTTTTATCATGCCCTTTACACTCCTAACGAAATGCTTATTTATTTCTGCTGTCTCTTGGTTCAATTTAAAACAATTATTTTATTATTTTCTGGTTTTGTGATGGTGGTGGCATTTAAATGTTTAGTTTGTTGATGTGGCTTCACAAGGTGAATACATTCTAATTCAAAGGCAAGCAGGATCATTTGTCAGCTTGTAAGAAAAAAAAAAGACTGAAATAAAGGTACTGCATGAGAGCTGTTCTCTATGTTTATTTAAAGATTATCTGGCTTCATTCAATTTATACAATATTAACTTGGTGATACCTCACTTAAAATACAGTTATAATCTCTTCATTTTTTCAGAACACTGAGTTAATTATAGCTTGCTTAGGAAGAGATGAACAAAAAAATACAGAAATATGCTTCCTACTGAAAAGAAATAAGGTGCTCTTCTATTAGAGCGGTGTAAGGAAGAGCCTGTCCATTTCCTTTAAGCCATTGCATTTGCATTGAAGTCCTGGTAAAAGAAGAAATTCACATTAAGAGAGAAAAGGCCAAATTGTTGAAGTAACTTCAAATATTATTTCTTACCTGGGTGGAAAGGAAGCTCCTACATGGCACAATAACATGGGTTTCAACTTGTTGTACAAAATGTAGTTTGTGGTTGTAAGGCAAGCTGTTAGCCTCTATGGTACTGAACTCAGCACAGTGCCTTACTTTGAAAGAGTTCAGAGGTTTCCTAAACTCCACAGTGTCCAGCTTCTGGTACACAAAGACCAATTTCTCACTCACTTTGAAGATGTGAACTACCTTTCCAAACACTGGTTGTTCATGAAAGGAAGTTATAATGGCACTTCCTTTCCTGTAGCAAACTCCCTTCACAGTAACAACTTTGAACTGCAATACTGTAGTATCAGGAGATAATTCTTGTAATGCCATACGAGTTTTAGGTCCATAGAATGATAATTTCTTCAAGCATGATGCACCACACTTATCAGCACTTTGTCACGCTGTCACACTGACCTGGTCACGCTGTCACGCTGACCTGGTCACGCTGACATGGTCACGCTGACATGGTCACGCTCTCTCAATAATCTGGTCACGCTGTCACACCGGCCTGGTCACGCTGACCTGGTGACGCCGGCCTGGCCACACTCTCACGCTGAGCTGCTCACGCTTAGTTTGAGAATAAGATCTGTCAAGAGTAGGCTAAGGTTTGTCGCGAGTAGAGTAAGATCTGTCACGAACCCGTTAGGTTGGGTTAGGATTGGTTGAACCATTTAGTTTGAGATAAAGATCTGTCAGTTATGGTCACGGTGTCACGCTGACCTGGATGCGTTGTCACGCTAATCTGATCACGCTGTCACGCTGACCTTGTGACGATGCCCTAGTCACACTGTCACGCTGACATGGTCACGCTGTCACGCTGTCACGCTGTTCAGGCTGCGCTGTTACGCTAAGCTGGTCACGCTGTCACGCTGACTTGGTCACGCTGTCACGCTGACCTGGTCACGCTGTCACGCTGACCTGGTCACGCTGTCACGCTGACCTGGTCGCGCTGTCACGCAGACCTGGTCACACTGCCACGCTCACATGGTCACGCTGTCTCAATAATCTGGTCACGCTGTCACGCTGGCCTGGTCACGCTGACCTGGTCACGCTGTCACGCTGACCTGGTCACGCTGTCACGCTGACCTAATCACGCTGTCACTCTAACCTGGTCACGCTGCCACGCTGACCTGGTCACACTGTCACGCTGACCTGGTCACGCTGTCACGCTGACCTGGTCACGCTGTCACGCTGACCTGGTCCCGCTGTCACGCAGACCTGGTCACACTGCCACGCTCACATGGTCACGCTGTCTCAATAATCTGGTCACGCTGTCACGCTGGCCTGGTCACGCTGACTTGGTCACACTGTCACGCTGACCTGGTCACGCTGTCACGCTGACCTAATCACGCTTGACCTGGTCACGCTGCCACGCTGACCTGGTCACGCTGTCACGCTGACCTGGTCACGCTGTCACGCTGACCTGGTCACGCTGTCACGCTGACCTAATCACGCTGTCACGCTGACATGGTCACACTGTCACACTGACCTGATCATGCTGTCACGCTGACCTTGTGACGCTGCCCTAGTCACGCTGTCACGCCGACATCGTCGCGCTGTCACGCTGTCACGCTGTACAGGCTGCGCTGTCACGCTAAGCTGCTCACGCTGTCACGCTGACTTGGTCACGCAGTCACGCTGACCTGGTCACGCTGTCACTCTAACCTGGTCACGCTGCCACGCTGACCTGGTCACACTGTCACGCTGACCTCGTCACGCTGTCACGCTGACCTGGTCACGCTGTCACGCTGACCTGGTCGCGCTGTCACGCAGACCTGGTCACACTGCCACGCTTACATGGTCACGCTGTCTCAATAATCTGGTCACGCTGTCACGCTGGCCTGGTCACGCTGACCTGGTCACACTGTCACGCTGACCTGGTCACGCTGTCACGCTGACCTAATCACGCTGTCACTCTGACCTGGTCACGCTCCCACGCTGACCTGGTCACGCTGTCACGCTGACCTGGTCACGCTGTCACGCTGACCTGGTCACGCTGTCACGCTGACCTAATCACGCTGTCACGCTGACATGGTCACACTGTCACACTGACCTGATCATGCTGTCACGCTGACCTTGTGACGCTGCCCTAGTCACGCTGTCACGCCGACATCGTCGCGCTGTCACGCTGTCACGCTGTACAGGCTGCGCTGTCACGCTAAGCTGCTCACGCTGTCACGCTGACTTGGTCACGCAGTCACGCTGACCTGGTCACGCTGTCACGCTGACTTGGTAACGCTGTCACGCAGACCTGGTCACGCTGTCACGCAGACCTGGTCACACTGCCACGCTAACATGGTCACGCTCTCTCAATAATCTGGTCACGCTGTCACGCCAGCCTGGTCACGCTCACCTGGTCACGCTGTCACGCTGACGTGGTCAAGCTGTCACACTGACCTTGTCACGCTGTCACGCTGACCTGGTCACGCTGTCACGCTGAGCTGGTCACACTGTCACGCTGACCTGGTGACACTGTCACGCTGACCTGGTCACGCTGACATGGTCACGCTCTCCCAATAATCTGGTCACGCTGTCACGCCGGCCTGGTCACGCTGACCTGGTGACGCCGGCCTGGCCACACTCTCACGCTGAGCTGGTCACGCTTAGTTTGAGAATAAGATCTTTCAAGAGTAGGCTAAGGTTTGTCGCGAGTAGAGTAAGATCTGTCACGAGCCCGTTAGGTTGGGTTAGGATTGGTTGAACCATTTAGTTTCAGATAAAGATCTGTCAGTTATGGTCACGGTGTCACGCTGACCTGGATGCGTTGTCACGCTAACCTGATCACGCTGTCACGCTGATTTTGTGACGATGCCCTAGTCACACTGTCACGCTGACATGGTCACGCTGTCACGCTCTGTCAGGCTAAGGTTTGTCGCGAGTAGAGTAAGATCTGTCACGAGCCCGTTAGGTTGGGTTAGGATTGGTTGAACCATTTACTTTCAGATAAAGATCTGTCAGTTATGGTCACGGTGTCACGCTAACCTGGATGCGTTGTCACGCTAACCTGATCACGCTGTCACGCTGATTTTGTGACGATGCCCTAGTCACACTGTCACGCTGACATGGTCACGCTGTCACGCTCTCACGCTGTTCAGGCTGCGCTGTCACGCTAAGCTGGTCACGCTGTGACGCTGACCTGGTCACGCTGTCACGCTGACCTGGTCACGCTGTCACGCTGACCTGGTCACGCTGTCACACTGACCTGGTCACGCTGTCACGCTGACCTGGTCACGCTGACATGGTCACGCTGACATGGTCACGCTCTCTCAATAATCTGGTCACGCTGTCACGCCGGCCTGGTCACGCTGACCTGGTGACGCCGGCCTGGCCACACTCTCACGCTGAGCTGCTCACGCTTAGTTTGAGAATAAGATCTGTCAAGAGTAGGCTAAGGTTTGTCGCGAGTAGAGTAAGATCTGTCACGAACCCGTTAGGTTGGGTTAGGATTGGTTGAACCATTTAGTTTGAGATAAAGATCTGTCAGTTATGGTCACGGTGTCACGCTGACCTGGATGCGTTGTCACGCTAATCTGATCACGCTGTCACGCTGACCTTGTGACGATGCCCTAGTCACACTGTCACGCTGACATGGTCACGCTGTCACGCTGTCACGCTGTTCAGGCTGCGCTGTTACGCTAAGCTGGTCACGCTGTCACGCTGACTTGGTCACGCTGTCACGCTGACCTGGTCACGCTGTCACGCTGACCTGGTCACGCTGTCACGCTGACCTGGTCGCGCTGTCACGCAGACCTGGTCACACTGCCACGCTCACATGGTCACGCTGTCTCAATAATCTGGTCACGCTATCACGCTGGCCTGGTCACGCTGACCTGGTCACGCTGTCACGCTGACCTGGTCACGCTGTCACGCTGACCTAATCACGCTGTCACTCTAACCTGGTCACGCTGCCACGCTGACCTGGTCACACTGTCACGCTGACCTGGTCACGCTGTCACGCTGACCTGGTCACGCTGTCACGCTGACCTGGTCGCGCTGTCACGCAGACCTGGTCACACTGCCACGCTCACATGGTCACGCTGTCTCAATAATCTGGTCACGCTGTCACGCTGGCCTGGTCACGCTGACCTGGTCACACTGTCACGCTGACCTGGTCACGCTGTCACGCTGACCTAATCACGCTGTCACTCTGACCTGGTCTCGCTGCCACGCTGACCTGGTCACGCTGTCACGCTGACCTGGTCACGCTGTCACGCTGACCTGGTCACGCTGTCACGCTGTCCTAATCACGCTGTCACGCTGACATGGTCACACTGTCACACTGACCTGATCATGCTGTCACGCTGACCTTGTGACGCTGCCCTAGTCACGCTGTCACGCCGACATCGTCGCGCTGTCACGCTGTCACGCTGTACAGGCTGCGCTGTCACGCTAAGCTGCTCACGCTGTCACGCTGACTTGGTCACGCAGTCACGCTGACCTGGTCACGCTGTCACTCTAACCTGGTCACGCTGCCACGCTGACCTGGTCACACTGTCACGCTGACCTGGTCACGCTGTCACGCTGACCTGGTCACGCTGTCACGCTGACCTGGTCGCGCTGTCACGCAGACCTGGTCACACTGCCACGCTCACATGGTCACGCTGTCTCAATAATCTGGTCACGCAGTCACGTTGGCCTGGTCACGCTGACCTGGTCACACTGTCACGCTGACCTGGTCACGCTGTCACGCTGACCTAATCACGCTGTCACTCTGACCTGGTCACGCTGCCACGCTGACCTGGTCACGCTGTCACGCTGACCTGGTCACGCTGTCACGCTGACCTGGTCACGCTGTCACGCTGACCTGGTCACGCTGTCACGCTGACCTAATCACGCTGTCACGCTGACATGGTCACACTGTCACACTGACCTGATCATGCTGTCACGCTGACCTTGTGACGCTGCCCTAGTCACGCTGTCACGCCGACATCGTCGCGCTGTCACGCTGTCACGCTGTACAGGCTGCGCTGTCACGCTAAGCTGCTCACGCTGTCACGCTGACTTGGTCACGCAGTCACGCTGACCTGGTCACGCTGTCACGCTGACTTGGTAACGCTGTCACGCAGACCTGGTCACGCTGTCACGCAGACCTGGTCACACTGCCACGCTAACATGGTCACGCTCTCTCAATAATCTGGTCACGCTGTCACGCCAGCCTGGTCACGCTCACCTGGTCACGCTGTCACGCTGACGTGGTCAAGCTGTCACGCTGACCTTGTCACGCTGTCACGCTGACCTGGTCACGCTGTCACGCTGAGCTGGTCACACTGTCACGCTGACCTGGTGACACTGTCACGCTGACCTGGTCACGCTCACATGGTCACGCTCTCCTAATAATCTGGTCACGCTGTCACGCCGGCCTGGTCACGCTGACCTGGTGACGCCGGCCTGGCCACACTCTCACGCTGAGCTGGTCACGCTTAGTTTGAGAATAAGATCTGTCAAGAGTAGGCTAAGGTTTGTCGCGAGTAGAGTAAGATCTGTCACGAGCCCGTTAGGTTGGGTTAGGATTGGTTGAACCATTTAGTTTCAGATAAAGATCTGTCAGTTATGGTCACGGTGTCACGCTGACCTGGATGCGTTGTCACGCTAACCTGATCACGCTGTCACGCTGATTTTGTGACGATGCCCTAGTCACACTGTCACGCTGACATGGTCACGCTGTCACGCTCTCACGCTGTTCAGGCTGCGCTGTCACGCTAAGCTGGTCACGCTGTCACGCTGACCTGGTCACGCTGTCACGCTGACCTGGTCACGCTGACATGGTCACGCTCTCCCAATAATCTGGTCACGCTGTCACGCCGGCCTGGTCACGCTGACCTGGTGACGCCGGCCTGGCCACACTCTCACGCTGAGCTGCTCACGCTTAGTTTGAGAATAAGATCTGTCAAGAGTAGGCTAAGGTTTGTCGCGAGTAGAGTAAGATCTGTCACGAACCCGTTAGGTTGGGTTAGGATTGGTTGAACCATTTAGTTTGAGATAAAGATCTGTCAGTTATGGTCACGGTGTCACGCTTACCTGGATGCGTTGTCACGCTAATCTGATCACGCTGTCACGCTGACCTTGTGACGATGCCCTAGTCACACTGTCACGCTGACATGGTCACGCTGTCACGCTGTCACGCTGTTCCCCTAGTAAAAATGAAAGTCTGGTGCCGGACTGGGCTTAGTCGGACAATCCGGATCGATTCCAGACTGTTGCCCGACCTGCCAGACTCCCGACTCATGTCTGGAAAAGGTGCGGAAAACGACCATACGCCGCACTTTTTCCGCACTCGGAGTCCGGCAAGCTGCTCCAGACGCAGTCCGGGATCTGAGCGGAGCCGCCGGACTAGAATGCGGATAGAGTACGGGTTTAGTCCGGCAGGAGTCTGGAAACAGTCCGGAAACCGTCCGGAAGCAGTACGGGCATGGCGGGATGAAATCCCCCCTCCCCCCACCCCCACTGGGGAGGGATACCCCACCCCTCCCCCTCTGGATGTGCCCCTTCCTCGCCCACCCCCTGTATGCCCTCGCCCCCATGTGTACAGACTAGCTCACCGCCTGGAAGTTAGGCACCCCAACATGCGTGTGGTTGGTTGGTTGCCTACCCGCAAGGCGGCATGGAGTTGGGACTAAAACGCATCGAATAGATTGGAAAGTTTAATGTTTTAAAACAAAGAAAATGGTCAGCAAAGTGCTGTACAGTACAATACAAAATGGAAGTCAGCCAACACTAAAGTGAAATAGAAACTACAGATCTAGCTCCACTTTGGAGCTATGGTCATAGAAATGGTAAGCAGGGTATGCTTTACAATACAAGTCAACCAAAACTAAAATCAAATATAAACCACACATCTAGCATCCACTTTAAAACTGTGATCATTCATAGAAATTGTCAGCAGGGAAACTGCTATAGAATACAAAATAGAAGAACTAAAAAGAAAATAGAAAAACTAATAAAAAGAAATAAACTACAGATCTAGCATCCGCTTTGGAGACTTTGGAGGAAACCTGTAAAAGGATAATGCGTATTAAGATAAGAAAAAAATGGAAACAATAATTATAAGATCCAAGTTTCTTACTGGACGGTATGGTAGTCTGGGTACAACTGCGGGTAGTTCTCTGAATAATCTGTGTAGCTGGTCTGGAATTGCTGCTGAATGGGCTGCTGCTGTGCAGACTGGTGGTGGAACGACTGCTGGAGCTGCATTGGGTGGTGCTGTGCAGCCTGGTAGTCCATTGAGTGCTGGTACTGAATTGGCTGCTGTGCGGACTGTTGGTTGATTGTCTGCTGTTGTGTGGCCTGGTGGTGAATTGGCTGCTGGTGCTGAAATCCCTGATCATGGTTTCCATAGGAGTATTGTTGCACCTGACAGAAGGATGAGAACAAATTAATGACAAACAGACAAACAGTAGAGTTGGAGTGACTGCTCAAAACCTGATGTAATCATACCTGATTAACACTCCACGTGTTTTTAGATGGCGTTGTTTTGACTGCTAAAGACTCACGAGAAGACTCACTCTTCTTCGGTGTGCTTATTGAGTCTTCTTTGGGTGAGTCTTTCTTTACAGCATTGGGAGAGGGGTTTCCTATAGAAAAGGACAAAATTAAGTTTTGGAAATACCTCTAGGATTCATAACTAGAAAAATGACAACTTACCCTTCCGAGCACGATGAGGCGCTCTCCTGGCTTCACATGCGAGGTTGTTAATAATTCTTTTGATGTCTTTTGTACCTAGAGCTGTAGACTTCTCTGAATTTTTCTCCATAAAAGCTGCAATAAATTGACATAAAATAGTCAACAAAACAAAATCTTTCAAGCATTTCAAAAACATGTAAATTGTTTTTCACTTACAAATAATTGCCTTGAGGACATGGGGACGAATCATTGCTGTACCATGCAACAACTTCAGTCTGTCCTTGAATAATTCATGGACCAATGCTGTAAGCATTTTGCTTGGCCCCAACTTGGAGCCAGTCAAAAGAATAACCTGTCTTGCACTGGCTGAGATAGATACTCCAGATGTCTTGCTGATTTCAACCTACAACACAGAAAAGAAGTCAGTAAATACCAGTTTTTTTAAAAAAGGACACATTAACGAGGAAGTAAATTCACACTCTGCGGTCACACGAACAAAATTGAACAAAACTAGCCCAACCTGTCTTTCATTAGCTGGAGGTGCGACTGTTTCTACATATTCTGCTTCACCCTAAAAAAATAAAAAGTGGTGGGAGTAAAAATGCAATGCAACAAGTCAACTTAACGGACAAACTTGAAACTGACATCACTGTTTGCATTTTCCTGCTCCTGGTCAAAGGTGTCAATTAATTCATTTAAGAAAGCAAGGACAGATGGGGTGTCTGAAACACAGAGAGAGAATGATGTTAATTCTGCACCTTATTAGAACACAACAGAAAAAGCGAACAACAGTGAACACCTACACATTTTCTTAAGTCTCATGAACTGGAAAAATCCGGCTTTATTTTTGTCATCAGTCAAGTCCTCTCCTTCAGGAATTCCTTGAGAATTAGGCCTCTCAAAAGAAGCTTGAAGAGGAGACTGAGACACTACAGGAGATTTGGCTTGAGGAGAATTGGACTTGGGCTTCCTTGGAGAAGCCTGTTTGGACTTATCAAGAGAAAGCAGCATTTGAGGAGACTTAGGATGAGGGCTTGACACCTGACATAACAAAAGATAGTCTCAGTGCAAGAAATACAAGATTTGTAACATGTTAGTACAAAAAGAGCCCAATTTGGTACCTTGGCAGGAGATGGTAAATGGAGTGACGATGACTGAGGCACTAGAGGGGAAGATCTTACTTGAGACGAATTCTGGTACCCTTGAGGAGAAGAATTGACCCTGGACTCTCGAGAAGGCTTCGTGGACTTGTCAAAGAGAGGCGGGATTTGAGGAGACATCTGATGAGGTCTTGACACCTGACAACAGAAGATAGTGATATGATAAGTACAAATTAGCCTAATTTGGTAGCTTGGCAGGAGATGGTAAATTGAGTGAGTGACAAAGACTGAAAAGCAAAGATGTTTCCTTTTGAAAACAGACATGACAATTGTTGAAAAAAAGTTAAAATAAATTGATGCTCATACCTGTGGCTTCTCCTTGGTGATAGCCAGCAGTGAATCAACCTCACTCTCGTCATCATTGTCATTGCAGTCATCATCATCCTCCGCATCCTCACTTGCTGCATCCATCATAAGCTCGTTAGGATTAAAATCTGGCTCAGGATTTCCACGTTTCTTAGGTCCAGTCCCATCGAGCCCCAAATTCATAATATTAGATTTTTTGTTGCTTCCCTTCTGCAATTAGAGAAATACATAATCAAATAAATATAAGGTAATATGACACTAAAAATATAATAACATAATGAGGGGACCTGTGCAAACCTGCTCTGTTGGGTTGTTGCAGTTCAAGCTTCCGTGCACCAATTTGCTCAAAGCTGACTGGGCAGCTTTCCGATTGGCTTTTCCCACCTTAGCAAGTTTTGAAACTTCAGTATTTTCTCGGGCCAGCGAAGCGGGGACGCTGCGTCTGTGGCCTGATGCAACTTGCACAGCAGTTTCGGACGCAACTTTGCCAAAGCGTTTCACTTGACTTCGATTCCTTTTGGGAGCAACTTTAGCCGCCTCCTCATCAATTCTGTTGCTAACTTCAGCTTGAATCCTTTCAAGTACATCAGGGTTAGCTGCGTATTCATCCATGGAACAAAAATCAAACAATTTCAATCAGTTAAAACGAATAAAAGTCGTGGAAAATGCACGCTTAGAATGACAAGAACGGGAGCTGTCGAGATGTCGAACCGCGTTCAGAGGTTAGATTACGGATACGGTTCAAAGGTTTCAAACAAGCAGGAAGAAACTAAAGAGAAAATAGACTGAAAATGCAGACGCTCACCACTTATTCCCTCGATTCGTCCAGTGTAGTCCTTATGGGACCCTGGAGGGCGGATCTTGGTGTAGGTCCCCACGGACCTGTCGCTGCACGGAACTAGCACAATCGGAGCAATTCCCACTTTCTTTTCTTCCACCCAGTAGATCACGGCACTATATTGATCTTCTGCCTCCCCAGTATCCATGTCTTCATACATTTTGTCCCAAAGATTTCCACAAGCGCTGTTAAAGCGAACTGCAAACACCACACGTTGAACAAGTTGAAACAGGAATGGCTGCCAGGCAGTCGTTTGAAAGTAAACCGTCACAGCCGTTTAGATCGCAGGTTGACCAACCTAAAGAAAATTAAAAAATATCGATACTTTGAAAAAAAAAAGTTCTAAATGAGAGCAAACGCAACTAGAAGATTATATTATTTTTAATTTATTTTTCTTTTGAATGCACAGTTCTGATACTTAAGTCATGAAAATGATAAGAAGAAGTTTCTCAGGACACGTTTAGCATTGGTTGGTACGGCAGTGAAGCGGAAGTCTATGCAGAGGCGAGGAGGTGGAAGGGGTAGGGGCGTCGGGAGGCAGTGCGAACAGAGCAGAGCAGAGCAGACAGTAGCAGCAGACGGAGTTACTAGTCAGGATCGTGCAATCCAGGGGCTTCGCCTCTCGGATCGTGACGCCAGCGTCGGTCATGTTCTAGTATCATGTTAATGTACTTTGTTTCATCTTGTTGTGGCGAATTCAATATATTAATGTTATCTTATTATCTGGTAATTTATGTTATGTGTCAATATTGCCATGAAAATTCCTCATTTGTTATTTGTTTTCATTCCATACCTAACTCAATATTTCAAGCACCAGCAATAAACTGTCCAGTCACAAGTTACTCCACCCTAACCTACATTTCGTTACCGAATTGAAAAGTTGCGCTGCGTTGACTAATCACAGCGCCGCGTCGCTCGTCTAAGAGTCATCCGCTCCCTTGCACGTCTCTACCCTAACCTACGTTTCGTTAGCGAATTGAGAAGTTCCGCTGCGGTGACTAATCACAGCGCGTCGCTCGTCTAAGAGTCATCCGCTCGCTTGCACGTTCTGATTCATTCAAATATACCCGCGTCACCCTTCTCCTCCACACGCCCCGTGACTGACTCAACATTGAAATTGATATACAGATTCGCTTTCAGATTCTGATTCAAATGTCAAATGTACCCGCGTTACCAACATATAAATATTACATTACATTACGTTCTCGTGCTGTCGTGATATTTTAATGAACGAACTGATAGAAAAGAACAATTTTATTCTCTTGCTTTAATGTCTTTGTCGATTCGTTTCATTTCTTCTCCTATTCTGCATTTGTTCGCTTTCCAACCGCACATTGACTGTTGTCTACATTGTCCCGTGTCAAAACGGACCTTGTGGACGGTTCTCAGTGACCGTGGCTCTGACTCCTTATGGCTCCGCCATTTTATTTTATTTAATTTCTTTTCTTTTCGTTGGGCGAAGCCAATAAGTTTTATTGCTTTCGTGTTAAAATTAACTGGTCATTCGTTTCAAAGTTTTAAAAGTTGACTTACTATTATTTTATTTGTGTGTGAGTGATGTTTTATTCTAAATGGCCGAACAACGACGAATCAAGCGTCTGCTGCAATTGCCAGACCGAATGAATATACCTCCAGACTCAAGCAGTAGTGACGAAGAAGGACAACCCAAGCGCCTCAAAACTTCAGGTGCGCAAGGTTTTAATATAGATTGAAAACCGTTCAGATCGATCAAAATTTTATAGCCATTTTTATACACGTTTTTAGTACTTAACTTCAATCACTTTGTGGTTTGATAGGTTATGATGTCCATAGTGTGTGTCGGTTTTAATATTGATTTGTAAAAAAGACCTCATTTACAAAAAGAAATTAGCTAAAAGAATTTTTTGTTTCTCTTATTTTAGGGCCAGGTAATCCGGTGTCCGACAATGAATCTGAAATTGAGACCATCCAAAACCAGGCGGAAGAGGAACGTCTTTCTGACAACTGTGAACAAGGTAAAACTGGCTTTATATATATGTGTATATTTGTATAGATATATAGATATATAGGTTATCATTTCCACTGTGTAATGTTCATTTTTTGGAAAATAGCTCTTTCCACTAAAGTTAATCTAGAGAATGCTCTGTATGTTTGCTTTCAGAGCCTGATGTTAATCCGGTGTTTGGCAACGATTCTGAATCGGATAACTTCCAGCACGAGGAACAGTTTGTCGATAACAGTGGAGAAGGTAAACGTCATAAACAAACTAAATTAATATGGAACATATATGTTTGTTTACATTTTATCCTGACTGTGCATCTTTATATTCTGCAGGTGTGGATCAACAAGTGGGGGAAAATGCTGAAAATGGACCAGGAAATGACAAACCTATTGACATTGGAGTTTTAGATGAAGTTCACGACATTGAAGGTCTTGATTTTTTTTCCACAAAAGTGAAGTACCTTGTCTTTTAATGTGATTTGTTTTTCATTTTCTTTTCAATTTTTCTAGATGTTAACCCAGCTGGAACTAATGAAGGTCTGGAGAATTTTCTGGATATTATGAACGATGATGGAAGTGGAGGAGAGGAGCAGGAAGATGAAGATGAGGATGAAGATGAAGATGAAGATGAAGATGAAGATGGAGAAGGAACTGATGGAGAGGAAGAAGTGGTGGATGAGGACGATGAAGAGGAAGAAGAGGAGGAAGAACAAGAGGAGGATGCAGGAAGCAAGCCTCTGTATGCTGATGCTCCCGTTTCAGTTCATGAAACCATGCTATCCCTTTTGACTTTAGTTATGGCACATTCCCTTACTGGTGTGTGTTTGGCTGACCTTCTAACGTTCATTTCTTTGATTCTGCCTGTTAATAACTTGTTTAAAAGCACTCTGTATAAGTTCAAAAAGTATTTTTCCATCCTTGGTAACCATGTTTTGATTCTTCACTACTTCTGTTCTGCTTGCTGCTATCCTTTAGATACCAAAGACAGTGTTTGTCAATTTTGTAATAGTGCTAGTAACGTTTCTTATTTCCTAGAACTGCCAATTATTATTCAACTTCAAAGAATGCTAATGCGTGTTGGATTTTATGATAAGCTTCAGTACCGTTTTACAAGAGTTAAGAAACATAAGGATAATATAGAAGATATTTATGATGGCAATATATACAAAGATTTATTTAAACCAGGCAAGTTTTTGTACAATCGTAACAACATTTCATTCATGTGGTACGCTGATGGAGTAGCAATTTTTAGGGGATCGTCTAATTTTTCTATATGGCCTTTATACCTAGTTATTAATGAATTGAATTATAAAAACCGTGTTTCAAGGGAAAATATAATTTTGGCAGGATTGTGGTTCGGGGCCAAAAAACCTGAGCCTAATCTATTTCTGTTGCCGTTTCACAAATTTTTCCAAAAGTTCTCCTCTGAGGGTCATGTATTCACATTACCCAATGGTAGCAATATTAGAATGAAGGGTATGCTTTTGTGTGGAACTTGCGATTATCAAGCAAAGACTGCTTTCATGAAATTCAGTGCTCACAATGGCTTTTATGGCTGTGTACGTTGCCTCAGTCGTGGAAAGAGTCAGGAAACCCCTGGTGGCTCTAAAAGAAAAGGTCGTGTTCAAGTGTATCCTTATCAGAGGAACATGCATCTTAGGGAGCATAACCAGGTTCCGATTTGTGCTGAGAGGGCAGAGGAAAGAGGTAAACAGTATCTTGGTGTCCATTCCCTGTCACTTCTGTTCCATATGATGCCTGATTTTATCAAATGCATGGCGCAAGATGTTATGCATGGAACTTACATTGGTGTTTTCAAACTACTTATGCATCTCTGGTTTTCACCTACATGTTCTCAGAGTAACTTTTCTTTGAGCAGTATTGTTCAGATAGTTGATGCCAAACTAAGAAAAATTCGCCCTCCAAGTTTTGTGCAGAGAATTCCTCGATCAATAGAAAAGCATCTGAAACATTGGAAGGCTTCTGAGTACAAATTATTTATGATGTTTTACTCTGTTCCAGTTTTACAAGGTATTTTAGATGAGGAATATTTCCAGCACTACTTGAAGTTTGTTTCTGGTATATATTTCCTAGGGCAGGATAGTATTCATCCTGTAGATGATGTAGGAAGAGCCAGGACTCTTCTGCATTCCTTTGTGTCAGATTTTGAACGCTTGTATGGTCTTCGGTATCTTGTACTAAATGTCCACCAAATTTTACATTTGCCTGATGTTGTGTTGGATCTAGGCCCAACATGGGTCTATGCTTGCTTTTTTCTTGAAGGAATGAACTTTTACATCTTAAAAATGTTCCATGGGACATGTCATGTTGGACTGCAGATATGCACATCAGCATCCACATTTATCGGCCTTCCTGTTCAGGTTCGTGGTCTTCGTGAGTCCTCACTGAAGCAGTTCTGTCAGCGCCTTCTCTCTGATGTTAAAAATCTCAAAGTAAATGAGCAAATTCCTCCCCTCAATTCTTTCTCTTTCTCTGTAGGAAATTACACTAAGTTGGGTGCTGTGCCTCCAAGTATTTCTCAAGCAATGGCTAAAGCTAAAATTGCAGCTGATGGTAATTGGCTACAATTTCATCGTTTCAGAAAGAAGGGAATTTTGTACTGTGCTAAAACTTATACCAGAATGGCTAGCAGGGATTCATCTCATGTTTTACTATCTGTAGATAATGAATCTAAATTTTGTAGGGTTGATTATTTTGTTAAGAGAACAGATTGTAAGTGTTTAGATGTATGTGATTGTCCTGGAAAATTTTATGGCATAGGAACACTGTATAGCCCTAAATATTGGGCTGCTGTTCATGCTGTTGAAAATGTGATATTGCCTCATCTTATGAGTGTTGATTGTCTTAATGAAAAGGTTGCATTCCCTATTCAGGCCATTACATGTCTCTGTTTTTATTTTACAGAAGGAAATGATCAGTACATTGGAAAACCTCTTAACTCTCTAGAAATAGAGTAATTGTTTGTATACATTTTTAAGATTTTTTATATTGCTGAATAAAATTCAACTTTTTCCTCATTTTGTTTATTTTATTTGAAAGTCACAGAATGGATCCACTTCAGGTAGAAAAAAGGACAGGGGCTGAGTGGAATTTTCTTCCATGACAAATATTGCTTGAAACACATTGGCAACAGGCACCACTCCTATCCAGCCCTTCAACACAGCAGATTAATAATGTTTGCCTGTCTTTTTATCCTGGCAGGCTTCCATTTTTATGTGTGGGGCGGATGAAGTCAGGAACCGCACAAGCGGGCAGGCACTTGGACTCCCAACCTTCGGCCAGTCTGGGAAGCAGCGTTGAGGGGAAGGGAGCAACCGTTTGTAGTGATTTCTAAAAATTTGAATGAACACTGGACGGCTTATCTCATAAATGTCCCCAGTAAAATTTCTAATAGCAAATATTTCCTCAACCAACTTTTGTCTTTCTGAAATTTGACAAATTCGTACAAAGAAGAGCTACTATACTTCGGGTCATTGTCTTCCCCAGTATTGTAATGTACTAAAGAAACTGCATTCGTTTTAAGACTCTTCCTCCTGAACTGATCGCGTTTAGGCAGGCAGCATAATCGTTCACTCATTTCACACGTAACGGCTGTAAAAAAATGTATCTTTTCTCGAAATTAACATAAGGTCCTCTAGACAGCTATTTTGTTAAAAATATCTCGTCCCGCGCCAGCCCGCCAATTTACACAGCTCTCATAGGCCACTCCAGTCACATGACGTCGACAGGGCCACAGTCAAAATTTATTTTGTTGCTATCCAGCTACAATATATTTTTTAGACTACTTGTGCAGTTCGTTCCTCCTTCAATTTGTGGTTCTTAAAGAAGCTTTTTCTGCTTCTTGTTCAATTTTTAAGAGTGATAAGTAAGTACGTTTAAAAAAATTAGGATGAAAATTCATTTGTAGACAGAGGTTAGCGTCGGCTAATCAGGAGCCTCCTTTCATCAGTGGTAGCGCCTAGCCTTGATGAAAGGAGCCAGAAGTCTCTCTCTCTCCAGCGAAATAGTCTATCAGACCACACTTTGCCCATTAGTAAATCTGTTTCAATAACTTCCAAAGTGTGCATCTTTTTCTGAACATTTGTTCAAAGTGATAAAATGTCTCTCATAATTTATTTTGTTCTTTTTTTCAGTGATACGTGCTCATCTTGTTGGTATCTTTCTTGAGGATGGTCAGGTTTGCACCTACTATAACTTTCCAATGCATGATGATGTCGTTTATGAGGGTGGAGTTCTTGTTGACCTGCCTCGCAATAATAAAAAAACTTCTGTGGTTATTTTAGGAATCCATGGTATGCCATTAATCTGTTAATATCTTTGCACGAGTAAAGTATCTTCAATTTATTCTCTAACGTTTTTTTTTTTTTTTTTTAGAAAGCCTAGCTGAGTCAACAGCCGCAGCTAATGAGTACTTCAAGAGAATTTGTAAGTGGGACAATGTTGACCCCAGCGAAGTGAAATTGTTTGGTCATGACTTGGCTGCGATACAGGAAGAGGTGTCACAAATCGCACTCTTTGCATCGCAGGACGTCGAAGGTGATTGCTTTGTTACATGATTGAGGACATTGGAGAAAATTTAATTTTCAATTAAAGGAAACAGTATGTTTATTTGGTAAATTTTTAATGAGTATCACTGCTCATCAATTCTTGTTTCAGGACCACTTTTGCTTTCTACAAACTGCTTTGATCTTTTGGAGTTGGAGCAACAAGAATCACAAGATTTGTTCGACGATTAAATTTGGCGTACCTTGCTTAGCGTTCTCCATTTTATGTTACTTCTAATGGCTTTTTGTTTTATACTTGCTACTGCTGTTGTTTGTGATTAAGGAATCAAAGGCCAAAGTTTTACATTATGACTAGTGCTCAATGAAAATGCAGGAAGCTGTACAAGTTCCTTTATATAAGTATTTTTATATTGCCTTAGACCTTTGTTGTGACACATTGATTCACAAAAGCCTGTAATGGGCCACTTTATGTAAGTGAATCAAAATTGTTCAATTATTGACAAGTGTAATGCTGCATTTTCAAAGAAACTTTATTTTGCTTTGAATTCTGTGACTTCATAAACATACTCCTCATTCACTTAATATAACCAACAGCTGATTCTAATTAAAGTAGGAACACTAACAGCACACTGGTTATTTTGATCGGACTTCAAAATAAAATTAGAATGTGGAACCTTCAGCTATGCTCTTATTGTCACAAACTACTTAACAGAGCGGTTTCCACATTTTTATAGAATACTATGGAAGTAATTAATTCAATAGGAATAGTGATCAATAAAATCTCAGCCCATGTTAAAACATTGCAACTCTAATAAACAACTAAAGAACTCTTCCTGAATGACAGCTTACCAAAACACGAAAGAAAGTAATGCAAATAAATTTACTTGTTCAAGTCAATAGAGGAATAACGTAACATAATAGTAAACAAACTTTCATCGTGCACTTGCTTTCATTGACTTGATATTCTACAGTTATTAGAAATTTACAGATTTTTGAACAGCATCTCTTTTTTGGGCACAGACCACACTAAAGGCTTAAGATAAATAAATACATAAGATAAGGAAGAAAAGTGATTAAAATACTAATAAGCTTCCTTGAAGGAAAGGCTGATATCGACTGGACATCTTGTTCAAACCTGGAATGAACCTGAAAAAAAGAGACATATATAAATAGCTAGCAAAATATAAATGATTTAAGTTTTTTGGTAATTCAAATGTTTTCCTCAACACCATTTGCAGAAGAAATTTGTACTCACAAAACAAAAGCCAAGTCATGGATACTCCACCGCAGTTTCCAATGTTTTGATGTATGCAAGCATGGGAGTTGTCTTCATGCCGAGTGGTCAGCTTGAATAGATTGAATGTTGAAATGCACACAGCCAGACCCAGCATTAGACCTGAAAAAGAGGAAAGAGATAACAATGAATATAATTCGTCTAGTTCAAAATGGTTCAGTGCAGGCAGAATGCTTCGCATAAAGTGTAAGCAGAAAGGTTCACTCAAAAACTGCACGATCGTTAAAAAGCATGATTTATGTTAGTATAAAACTACTCGGTATTTATAAAGGCGATAGTAATCTTTGCGATTTTCAAATAAATTAGTTTTAAAGTCGAATACATAAACTTTCTGCTAGCAGAAAAGAGGTTAAAAGCGCATGGGGATGGGAAATAGTTGCACTTGCACATTTGAATGTTTCGAATGAGTATATCAAAATTCTTCATTCGTACTGCGAAAGCTACCCCGGATATAGATTCGATATAACTCACCACGGTATCATTGACGTCGACCGATACAGAGATGATGATTTACAGAAATCTTAAGGAAAGCGTGAATGTAAACAGACGATGTCTCCGAACATACACTCGAACCCGATTTCGATGTTCGAGTTCGAGACAAGGCAAGAGTCGACAATCGATCACAGCAACAGTCGAGGCGGGACTATTTTCTCGTTCAAATCGCGCGGATCGGCGGTCACTTGAGTAATGCACATAGATAACAATGCTGAAAGACAATTGTGCTTACTCTACTGATATAAAAGAGAGGAGCGTCATGTTCAAGGCACGGCCTGACAATTTCCATACTCAAGTCAGGCAGATCCGTTGCACTGACTGTTTCCAGACTGCATCAGGCGCACCCAGACCGCGCCCGTATCCAATCAGGTCCCTCCAGATCACTTCCATACCCCGTCTGGCACTTCCCGGACTGCTACCATGCCTCGTCTGGCACCCCCAGACTACAGCCGCACTACGTCGGGGACCACCAGACCACTGCCGTACCAAGTCGGGCTCGGTCCAGACAAGGGCCGTACGTCGTCGGGCATAGTCCAGACCGAACCCGGACCTCGTCAGACGCACCCCGACTAAGCCCGCACGGTTTCCAGTCTGGATCCTTACTAAATCCAGACTTTCATTTTTACAAGGGAGAATTTGCATTTATGGAGAGCTCCATGCAGAAGTTTCGGGAAAACGCCATGATTTTTCCATTATTTTTTTTCGGAATTTTCTGACAGTGTGGAGAAAATCTTGCCTTCGAGACGGCAGTACACAAAAAGTTTCGCCATAATTTGGCAATACTTTTGTGTATTGCCATAAAAATTGCAATACATGTTAAAGAAGACAATTGAACTAGTTCATTGTATATTGCCAAATCGACGCGTCCTAATAGAATAATCTTAACTGTCAGCGCAGATTCAAGACAATCCTAACTGTCAGTGCAGATTAGGAACTATCCTAACTGCAGAGGTACCTAAAAGTGTTCTGGAAGTATCTTTACTGCAATTAAGATAATCTCGATATATCTGAAATACTATGTCTACGTATTAATACAAGGATGACACTTTTTAACAAACCCTTCGGCGGGTAATTTTATGAAGCATGTTGGCGTCACGGACTTTGAGAAACCCCCGCTTTTCACGTGACGTGCAGTTAGGATAGTTCTGCATGGACAAAAAAAGTTAGGATTGTCTTGGATCAGCTCTGACAGTTAGGATTGTCTTGGAACTGCTCTGACAGAGTTAGGATTGTCTTGGATCTGCTCTGACAGTTAGGATTATTCTATTAGGACGCGTCGAAATATTCACGGTACATCACTGAAAATTGTATGGTCGGACTCATGGCCAATTTACGGCGTGATAAAAAGTCATGCCATAAATTGGCGTGACAGGAAATTCACGCCGCAAAACGGTGTGACGTGTTCGTCACGCCGTCATCTGGCGTGAATGTTCATGTTCCATGTGGATTGGTGCGTGCAATGCGTTTTATGACAAAAGTCATGTCAAAAAACCGGCATGACAGGAAATTTGCGTCAAAACTTGGCGTGAATTCTGAGTCACGCCGTTTTTTGGCATCCCTTTTTTTTGCCATGCCGTTTTTCTGCGTGACATTTCATTCACGCCCCGGCAGCTGCAAGAAGGCAAAATTTTGTGCGTGGCCGTGGCGATACTCAATTCAACAAGGTACTAAAAGTATGGCCATTCGTTTTGCAATGGAGGTATTGCTCGTAATTGACAAATCAGCCGTTACAAAATGCAATTCATGTAATATTTTTCAAAAGGTATTGGTATGATGACTATTTTTGGGAGTGAATTCCCCTTGACGGCTGTGGCGACCCGGCGAAGCGCCTGCAGCGCGGCGGGTAGGCAGGTCCGCACAACACTTAGGTCGGATTGGTTGCTCGTCGGCCCCACATACCATTACCATTAAAGGCTAGACCACACCCGCCTTCCCACGACTTAAGATGCTTGTTTGTTTCTCAGAATAGCTTAACAATTCCATGGTATGAGGAAGACACATGCCTTTTCTAAAGCGTACAAAGGACACTTTAGACTTTTGCATTTAGATAGGGAGGAAAGGATATGGTGGTTGGTCTTGTACGAACGAAGAAGGAGAAGGACGTGAGTGCCCTGACGGTTGAAGAAATGTGGAACGTTACGCTTTAGTTTTGCCTGTGCTCGGTGTTCACTATTATTGGAAAAGAGGCGATTCATGCCAGTTAAATTCAATCATTCTCTTTTTAAATAAAATATTTTTCCGTGGAGTCCCACGGAGCTGCATGTGCTTATTTATTTCACAATGTCTATTTAAATGTCTTTATAGAACAGTTTGAGATGACATCTTCTCTTTATTGTTTGTTGAGCAAAAATACTGATGAAATCCTTTTTTGAAATCCATGTGATACAAATTAACACTAATTATGTTTTGCGTCCCTTTGTCTTTATGATGTGGTTTTTACTTGCACGCAGCCTGAACACATTGCACCGATCTACCTATAGAAACCTAGCCCACGTCTTGGGCAAATAAATTACTATGGTACTTAGTCAATCTAACAGTGTTTCCTTAGCATTTGTCAGTTCAATTGTCACCTTATTTATAAATGTATTGTTGGTGACGTTTGTTGAAGATTGACATAAACGAGACCAAGCTGCTCTGTAAATATAATCTACGTATCTGCAAATAAATGATGTTGACATCCATTGTGGACCTATGCGTCAGAGATTTCATTGGCTTACTCCATACTGAGCTCAGACGCAGGACGTGCAGGGACACAAAAGGAACGCTTCGGTCGCAGTGTTTTTTGTTGTTTTTTGTCATCAAAGACGTTTAAAAAAATAAAACAACAGCGTATGTGTTTGTGTAATTAATCAGTTTAAATCACCTTCACCTGACAAAGCTCTTGCAAGAGGTTTGAATACATTATCAATACAGATGAAACTGTTGAAGTAAATCCATCTCTATACAATCGCAAGAAAACTTCAACACCTACTTCATGCTTTGTTAAACTTTATTTTCACATGCAATGTAACTGGTCAAGAAGCAATGATCGGGTAACAGTTCAATATTTTTAAAACAAATTTGATGGGTATTCATCAAATGCAAGTGTGTTCAAGGCACACATTTTTAAAAGTGTATTACAGGCGAGGCATCATTTTAATGTACCTTTTGAAGCGGTGGTTGCTACACCAGCCTCTGCCTTACGGGTACACGTAGACGGCGTCGTGGAGATTTATCTCGCCCAGCTGAACGATGGCGAGCCAGTTGCCCATGACGGGCGCGGGGCCGCCCAGCATGCCAGCCATGGCAGCCTTCTGCGCTGGAGTCGGCATGCGGAACCTGCAATAAACATTTACAGTGGGACTCTGTATGAAAGCTATCTAGCACTCTGGAAACCTTACAAATTGGTTTCGGCCTTACTAACAAAAGCAGCCTACTTACCTAACAAAGCATTTTGACCACATAGAAGCTTACAATGGAAATACTTCGTACTTTAAGAACTCTCTCTTTGTTTCACAAACTAAATTGTATGTACCTTACTTAAATATGCTCAAAATACTTCGCAAGGTTTCCAGCGTGAGAAGTGGCGAAACTTACTTCCGCAATGTTGATAATGGCTCAGTATCTGGAGACTTTACCCCAGTCTCTGGATTCACCGTAGTTAGCACGCACCTGTAATAAGATGTTATTAAAACAGTACCTTCATTCATATTTTGGCCCATGCTGTGGAATAAAATAGAAAATAATCTCTTCGGTTCACTCTCAGACTCGCCGCTGACTTTCAGTAAATGGTTTAGACAAGGATTTATCGATAGAGCCTCTGTTTTTTTCGTGCAACAGTAATAAGTACTTTCCCCTTTTGTTCTTATTATTTGCATTTATGCCAGAACTTATTGGCAACAGAAATTCCTTAATGATTTCATGTATGCAGTAAATTGTATCTAGAAGAAAATACTGCACATTATTGCTGTAGACTAGAGTACCTGGCTATTGACGATAAAGGCAATAAGATGCTGAGAAGAACTCCTTATAGGTCAGCCGCACTTCCAAGTGTGGACCACAGCTTGGTCCACGTTTCCTAGCGTGGACCATTCGTGGTCCACATTTCATAGCGTGGACACTTGGATTAGCAGTAAAGTACCTTCCGCAGGGCATGACTGTCTTGAAGACGGCCTGGCCGATGCGCATCCACTGCCAGGAGTCGTCGGCAAAGGCAGGCGGTCCCTCCACGACGAAGTTGGGCCGGAAGTTGAGCGCTTTGACGGGGACCTCCAGCTTCTCATTGAGCGCGTCGATGGACGCGCTGACGACGGCGTGGTACGACGTGTTGTCCGCGTAGATGCCCTACACCAGCATTCAGTGAGTCAGCGCCTGCAGTTAGACGACTACGACTACTGAGCATCGCTTTTGCAACACGAGCTTCGCGTTATGAAAGAATATCCTTCGTAAAACTGGACAGGGACAGAATTTTTTTTCATGATACGAAGCATTTCAACAATGTCTTCATTTCCTTCCTAGTTGTTAAGCAGACGCTTCGTAGTCTTTTTTATAATATTTTTGGGTGTGTCACGTGACAACGGATTTGAGCACCATACACTCTCAGGCTGTTATTGACTTTTTATCTTTTGTTAAAGAGTATTTTACACAGAAATAAAAATTACTATTTCCTCAATTTGTATGTAAGATTTTGTTTGTTATGTTCACTTACAGTCAGTTTGCTATTGACTACGAGTCAGTACGCAATTGACTTAAAAAATAGTCAATCAGTGATGACAATTTAATATTTATAGTGAACAATATTGTACATGGTTACAAAGGAAATACTACTTACTGCTGCTTTTAAAACTACGTAAGCAATGGGTCAATAATGGAGAGAAAAAATGCAATACGAGTCAGAGAGTGTTGTGGTTTGCTCACGCTGACGCTGCGCGACAGGGCGGGTCCGCGGCCCGCGCGGTCCGTACGCTCCAGGGGGAAGAAGGCCAGGCGCAGGTCCGCCTCGGCGGAGGCCTCGCGGTGCACGCTGGGGTAGGGTGGACCGTTTCCGGTAAGTTGAAGTTTGTCAACGGGCTAGCACGGCAAAAGTATTTTTGGGTCAAGAGAAACTTATAGAAAATAACAGGAAAAGTAGCGATAGAAATCGGCAACTTTGGCCCGTCCCGTGCATTAAGAAACGTACGAATTTCGCCTATATTTGACCCTGACGGGAATTAAACCTGAGTCTGGGGTTAAAATAAATGTCATTTTCGTCATCAGCACCCTCAAAAACATCAGAAACAATGCAAAAACTCGAATAAAATTTTTTTTCAAAAATACCCCGCTGGGGTTTGAACCCGGGTCCGAACTTCTCCGATTCGCTCGAAACTGGCACCATTGGTTTTTTCTCGTCGCCCCGATTCCAAAAATACCCCTACATGCCCTCCGAGCTGCATCCGTTGCCGAGATCCTCCTCGACCCCATGTAGACCATGATGCACCTGCAGCAGCGCCCCCGGGGCTCGGATCGGATTTGCTGCCACCGGGCGGTTCTTAGGGTCACCCAAGGAGGCTGCATACCAAATTTGGTCAAGATCGGACCACGGGAAGTCCTCGGACGGACGGACGGACGGACGGACGGACGGACGAACGAACGGACGCACAGCAGGGATCATACTATATGCCCGTCCCTCCGTCATTTTTTTTACAAAAAAATGAACGGGACGGGCCAAAAACCGGAAGTCGCTGCGACGTAATAGGGTACTTTCGTAGATCCCTGAACCGGAAGCACACAGACGCCATGTTGGCGGAAGTAGATCCAAACTTGACATGGGAAAGAGACGTTCGTCAAACGTATCGGCCACATTTGAACATAAACAGTCGTTTGATACTTGTTTGCAGTGCATATGTGTTTCGCAAGCAATATTTGTACAGCTCGGCTGTAGTTTGAGATCCGAAGAGAGGTTAGTTTCCGGCCAATTTGGCGTCTGCTGGTCTGCTTGCTTCCGGTTCAGGATTCTACGAAAGTACCCTAGTTAGGGGTCGCGCAGAGGGCGGGAAATTTCAAACGCCCAAAAGGCCGGAAAATACCCTAATTTTGCCCGTATCTCGTCCCAGGGGCGGCCTACAAAAATTTTAAGGGAACAAAAACTGCTCAAAATCACTTCATCAATAATCTGGTAACATTTTGGAAGCGATCCCACTAAGTTTAGTACCGATCGCTAATAAATAACACCGATTTTCGTATATATAAGTTTTGTTTTCTGGTAATTCACAGTGTAGTACCGTCTGTTCAGCTCGTGTTTTGATTTGGTGGCGAGAGAGACAGCGTATTCTCAGTAGCTGCACAGGGCTTGCGGTCTAGGCGGGTAGCGCATTGTTGACAGCCCTGCCTGTGTGTGGTGCCTCGAACGGCGCGCGGCGGCTAGCGCAGCGGAGGGCGTAGCTCGGCGTGTTCAAACTTGTTCGCGAGCGTTGTCGCTCTTTCTCGCGTCTCGCTGTCGGACAGAGCGTATCCTTAGTAGCTGCACAGGGCTTGCGTTCGAGTGACAGCCCTGCCTGCTGTGTCTCGAGCGGCGCGCGGTGCCAAGCGCAGCGGTGGGCGCATCTCGACGTGTTCAAACTTGTTCGCGCGCGTTCTCGCTCTTTCTCGCGTCGCGCTGTCTGCTTGAGTGTGAATGTGTGGAAATGGCGTCAACAAGGCTTCAAACTGATCTGTGGCTTATTGGACAACCAGCTTCAGAGATCACCGGCGGGAAATTGCCATTGACTTCGCAAGTTTTGCAGCGTTTCTTCTATTTTCACAACATTGATGGGAAGCCATTAAGGGACAGTGCGAGAGAAACAATCGAAGAAACTTTACCGTTCTGGGTCAAAGCTGGAGTTCCGACTCAAGACGTGAGAAATGCCACAGACGCCCTCCTCCGTCTCCACAGAGATTACGTGTCTTTGAAGAAAAATATCAACAGGACAGGCAAAATCTATGATGACCGTCGGCAAGATTTCCAAGACAGACTTAGTAGAACTTATGATCTAGCAACGGTCGATGCAGTGAGTAGAATGGAAGAGGAGATTAAAAAAACAAAGGACCTGAAAAGAAAAGCAGCCATGGTGGAGGACCTGCAATTTTACAAGCAGCAAATTGAAACCCGCAAAGGAACTTTGGGTAACGTAGACCCACTTGAAATTAAAAAAATGAAAAGAGATGAAAGAAAGAAAGAAAAAGAGAGAATTTTACAAGAAAAATACCACGAGGAGAAGATGAAATGCGAAGAGAGTATGAAGAAAGTTGACTGGGTGGATGTTAAAGAAGAGCTGCCCGATGAAGATTTACCTGAGAGTAGGGAGAAAGATGAAGATTTTAAGATGGAAAACAATTATCTGAAAAGAAAAGTTAAGACTGACGTGCTGACACCAACTCTCCTCGCTTCTCTGGACCGGAATGCATTGACGGACCGAAAAGCTCTGCGCACGGTATCAGAGACAGCCTCTGCTCTTGGACACGACCTGAAAGACGTAAATTTATCAAGATCAACTATTCGGCGATACCGAGAGTCAAGCAGGGCGAATGCTCGAGGACGTCTTCCTGATGACTTCACCTTGGACGGTCCTGTTGTGCTCCACTGGGACGGAAAACGGCTGGAAGAAGATGGTGGTAAGTATTAAGCACATGTGCTCCATTTTATTTTATTTACAATGAATAACTAAATTGGAATTTTTCTGCAGCTTGAGTTGAACGGCTCGTTGTTGTCGCTGTTGATCTGAAATCCGGAAGCGAGCAGCTTTTGGGCATTGTGCGGCTCCCGGATGGCACCGGCAAGTCTCAGGCCGACGCTGTGTTGTCGCTGGCAAGAGAGTGGGACTTGGCACACAGGGTGGTGGGCTTATCGGGTAATTCTTTCCCAAGTCACCCGAGGTCCCGAAATCGATGTCTCCGATTTCGACGAAACTTTGTGGGTGTGTTCCCTATGTAGCAAAGAGCTCCAGAAAAAAATTTCAACTTTTTTGGTCGGCCCAAAAAATTTTAATCACGTATTTTGTAAAAAACACTGAAACCTGCACTAAAAATTTGTTTGTTGCCTGAGGGCGACCTGCCCGGTGGATTTTTCTTCTTTTCATGGTACTGAAAAAAAAAGTCCCCGAGAGCCACTTTAAAAGTCACTTGTTCCAGGAGATATGGACCAAAAAATTCGTTTTTCGCGAATACCCAAAAAATGCATCCGAATTTTTTGATGATAATTTTGTTTTAGGAAGGTCCTGTGGTGGTCTATCACCCTTATTGGTTTTGGGTTTGGCCCATGGAAAACCGAATAAAAATCGCGTTTTTTCCGTTTTTTTCGCAGTTTTTGGCCCATAGTATCGCCATTTTAAGTCTGACTTAATGAGCGCCATTAGACTTTTTTTTCGCCTTTTCAAGACGAATCGATTGATATAAGTTGAAGTCAAATCGGAGTATTTTGAAAAATCGCATTTTTTACGCATCCAGATTAGTTGGATCCCGATCGTAAAAAGGGCGATTTTTCAAAATACTCCGATTTGACTTCAACTTATATCAATCGATTCGTCTTGAAAAGGCGAAAAAAAAGTCTAATGGCGCTCATTAAGTCAGACTTAAAATGGCGATACTATGGGCCAAAAACTGCGAAAAAAACGGAAAAAACGCGATTTTTATTCGGTTTTCCATTGGCCAAACCCAAAAACCAATAAGGGTGATAGACCACCACAGGACCTTCCTAAAAAAAAATTATCATCAAAAAATTCGGATGCATTTTTTGGGTATTCGCGAAAAACGAATTTTTTGGTCCATATCTCCTGGAACAAGTGACTTTTAAAGTGGCTCTCGGAAACTTTTTTTTTCAGTACCATGAAAAGAAGAAAAATCCACCGGGCAGGTCGCCCTCAGGCAACAAACAAATTTTTAGTGCAGGTTTCAGTGTTTTTTACAAAATACGTGATTAAAATTTTTTGGGCCGACCAAAAAAGTTGAAAATTTTTTCTGGAGCTCTTTGCTACATAGGGAACACACCCACAAAGTTTCGTCGAAATCGGAGACATCGATTTCGGGACCTCGGGTGACTTGGGAAAGAATTACCCTATCGTTCGATACCACCGCTTCGAACACCAGCCCGGCCAAGGGAGCCTGCGTGCTGATCGAGCTGGGTCTGGGGCGGAAGCTGCTGCGGCTTGCGTGTCGGCACCACGTCCTGGAGTTGCCTGTGAAAGGTGGCTTCGAGGCGCTGATCGGGAAATCTCAGTCTCCAGACATTCCCTTGTTCAGTCGTTTCAGGGCATTCTGGAAAAACATTGATCAAGGTAACTAACACGAATGAAAAGTAGGAATGCCTTCAATTTTTTGCTTCACATCACAGTCATGCCATTTTTTTGTTCTTTTTGCGGGGAAAATACGTAAATGCGAGGCAGTTGCAGCTAATTCGCCGCTTTCCCTGAAGCAGACGAAATCATCGTCTTCTGCAAAGAGCAGCTGTTGCAGGTGATACAATAAGCCTGAAATCACGGTTTAATTTATTTTAAAAATTTTTGCTTAGTAAATTTTTTTACCTTTTACACAGGAAAAGCAGCCGCGCGATGACTACAGGATGCTCTTGCTCTACAAAATCATATTTCTCGGTGGAGCCCCTCCCGGTGGTGTGAAGTTTTACGAACCCCTCACCGTTAGCAAGACGCGTTTCATGGCAGGGGCGAAAACTGCATACTTTTTTGCATGTTTTGTCGTCAATTCTCGCTCTCAGCTCAGGAGAAGACTGCTGCCTCTGAAACGGCTGTGTTTGTTGTGACAGAGCATATCCAGGTATGGTTTCTATCAAGAATTTCGCTGGGCACCGAGAACTGACTTGGAGTACCTCAAAACCATCACCAGAGATGTACTTCGCAACAAGAAGAATGATGCTCGGAAGACCATGTGGAAAACTGCGGGGGGGAAATTTTTGGGACATTTGTGGTATCTGTGCCCTGAACTGGCCACTTTTGGGTTTATTTGATAGACAGGTAGACCAGGAGACCAAACTGTCTATTGTGGCTGCGATGAATGCAGGGGAGGACATGGAGGAAGACGATTTGCCTAATAAAGGGGGTTTATAGTCAAGTTAGAAAATTCGGTATTGTCATTGACACTTCCCAGTTTTGTTAACGCAGGGTCCAAAAATTTTTTTCCACAAGTTGGGTGTCCAGCCTGACTTTTTATCTTTGCACCCATCAGAATGGCCTTCTAACAGTAATTTTAAGGAAATTGAAGTCCTCGTCAAAAAACCCCCCTGTTGTAAATGACGCAGCGGAGAGGAATGTGAGAATAGCAACAGATTTCCCAATATACTCACAAAAAATGAAGACCAAAGACAAGGCTTGTTCCTCAATGTTGCAAACGACCGCAAAAGTGTTAGTCAAAAATAAACTTAATTTTGCTTGTCATTTCAGTAATGTGCAACTTTAACCAAACAATTCTATTGAGTTTTCAGATGTGATATTTCTAATTACCAAATGCTAAGGTGCCATGTGCCATATTAAACATTTAACGTGAAATAAATAAAAAAAATCAAAGTGAGAACGTTATTTTTACCATCCAGAAACCCCCTTAAAAACACAAAACTACAAAAATCGGTATTATTTATTAGCGATCGGTACTAAACTTAGTGGGATCGCTTCCAAAATGTTACCAGATTATTGATGAAGTGATTTTGAGCAGTTTTTTTTCCCCTTTAAAAATTTTTTGTAGGCCGCCCCTGGGACGAGATACGGGCAAAATTAGGGTATTTTCCGGCCTTTTGGGCGTTTGAAATTTCCCGCCCTCTGCGCGACCCCTAAATTACGTCGCAGCGACTTCCGGTTTTTTTCTATAAGTTTCTCTTGACCCAAAAATACTTTTGCCGTGCTAGCCCGTTGACAAACTTCAACTTACCGGAAACGGTCGGGGTCCACGGCCACCTGGCGGATGAAGGCCGCTGCCTCGTCGCCGCAGTCCACCGCGGACACGGCGCTGCCCCAAACCTGGCGTGACATTTGTGGCAGGTCAGCTCAATGCACAATGGTAGTGTCAATTTACTATCCATATGTATGGTCGTATTTTTTCATACGAAACTGAAATTGGGGACAATTTTTCCATATTACGTATGCTGAAGTACTTTTAAAAAAACGCTGAACAGGTACCGGCCCATTTTATGTAACATTTTTTAAATATGTACAAATATGGCAATAGTTTTCGACAAAAGTACAGGAATTCAGCTTCATGTGCAAGGGGTCTGCCACTTCTTGCACTCAGTGTGCGTGTCCAGCCTACTCCCCTCACTTAGATTTTAGCTAAACAAGGTAGGTTTACGCCAGACCGCGTCTTGTCGTAACAGGCTTCGCGATGTCTCGCGGCCTGTTCCTCCAATCCGCGCCTGGCGTACCTACCTTGGCCTGCGGCGCTAGCCTGCCTTCGGCAGGCATTGGCTTGTCCATCGTCGGGTTTCTTCTTACGTGTTGCATGCTGTGGGGCTCCGCCCCCAGACCCCCCCTTTAAATTTTAGAAAGAGTTGCTTAATCTACAGATAACACGATCTTGACCCTTGTAACTTTTTAACTTGTCGAGGCTGGGGGCTCCGCCCCCCAGACCCCCCTTTTTTCAAGACAGAGGTGATCTACCTGCAAAAAAAATCGATTTTTCGCCCTTTTTTAGGTGTTTTTCGGCTATAAAAACTGAACCGGTTGAGCTAGGACAGTGAAATTTCGCGTGTGCCGAGCCAAAAAAATACCTAATAAGCCTGCAAAATCTCAGCCAGATCGGCCGAGCCGTTCAGGAGGAGTAGTGTACACACACACACACACACACACGGACACACAGACAGACAAAACTTTTCAACCCCGCTGGAGTAACGGGCTTCGCTATCGCTCAGCCAAAAAAAACCTGTAACCACCTGTAAGTAGGCAGCACTGAAAAAAAAGGTGAGTCATTTGACTCTTTAAGGGATACTGAAATGTACGACCAAAAAAGGGACATACTTAAATGTATGACCGAAAAATGGTCAATTTATTTTGTGATACATCACCAACTAAAGGAGAGCCAGCCTGTTTCGCTGGTGTCTGACCTTTTTACGGTCATACATTTAAGTTTGACATTCTTGCGGTCACACATTTGGCTTTGGCTTTTTTTTTCAGTCACACCTTTTGTATGACCAAAAGTTGGTCAGATGTCCATTCTTTGAATTGCAGTGAATTTGTGGGACAAACGCCTGAGAGAAGGCAGAAAAGTTTGACATGGCTGGCTGAGTTGAGTGCACTGTGGGAAAAAATCACAGTAAATCCTGTAGTGATTAGTACAGCTGTCACTGTAGTTTAGAGTACAGGATTTACTGTACTTTTTTAACAGGATCTACTGTACTTTGTACGGGATTTACTGTACCACAGGAGTGAAGTACGGAATATCCTGTAGCAGGTACAGTAGATACTGTAGCCAGGCACGGTAAATCCTGTGTTCTGAACTACAGTAAATCCCAGCAAAAAAATTAACGGGATTCACTGTGATTTTTTCGCACAGTGTGGAATGAGAGTGGATCCACCACCGCTGCAAGGGGCACCACTCACGTTATTTTCCTGCACGTCTGCGTCTTGAGCTGGGCAGTGTCGAGGATAAGAGGCTGGTCCGCCAGTGGGCTGCGCATCTCCACGACGTCCTGGTTCTGGTCGCCGTCCTGGCCAGCCACGGCCTTGGCCACGGCCACCACCGAGACCGTCATCAGGCCGGTGTGGCTGCGGCCTGTGACGAAGCGGCCGTTGCGGTCTACCGCCACAAACGACCTGGCAAGCGAGATTTATGTTTGAACCGGTGCACTGGTAAAACTGACGCGTAGTTGTAAGCTTCATTCAAGCATACAACTACGCTTAGTTTTACCAGTTGTTTAATCCATCAATGTGATTCGGAGAAAGCCCACTGTTTAGGAAGTTCCCAGTATCGCCGCTAGAGGGCTCCTGTGGTCAAGCCACCACGCCGTACTGCGTACTAACGTCAGTAGTCATCAAGGAATTACAGCCGCTTTTTAGCAGATGATACCTTTTCTTAAAAACATACCTTAAACTAACTACAAGACATATAAAGGTGTCAGCTAGCTTTTACTCGAGAGTCCAAAAACCTAGTGCATATTCTAACAATATAATGGGGGCTGGCTGCCGGGGCGGGATGGTGCGTCTGTCTGTCTGGCTGGCTGTGCCTGCCTGCGCCGCAGCCTGCGCGGAATTCGACAATGGCACCCCCTTCTGGCGCGCGGCGGCCGGGCCTGCGCGCAACATTGACCATCCCTCCCCGCTACACTGTGGCAAAAAGCTACGGAAAATTCTGTAAACAGCTTGTGGTAATTCTCCGTAGGCCCCTTATCAATATTCTCCGTAGGCTCTTACAGTATTTTCTGTAGGACCGCACAGTCTTCTCCGTAAGACCTTACAGTGATCTCCGTAGGACTATACAGTCTTCGAGGTCCTACGGGGAAGACTGTGCGGACTTACAGAGAATACTGTATGGCCCTACGGAGAATACTGTAAGAGCCTACGGAGAATATTGATAAGAGGGCTACGGAGAATACTGGCAAAAAAATTAACAGGATTTTCCGTACCTTTTTGCCACAGTGATACAGCGCAGATGCACCGCGTGCTCGCAATCCAACGGGCACGGCGCGGTGGTGGTGCAGGCCACGGCACAAAGGACTCAGTTTTTAACAGATGATACCTTTGCTTTAAAACATACACCTAAAACTATTAAATACTATCTTTGGAATGAGCCCATACTACCCCGTAGAAGAAAACCAAACGAGTATCATCTGCTTTCATTAACGTTCGTTGAATGACTATCTTTGGAATGAGCCCATACTACCCCGTAGAAGAAAACCAAACGAGTATCATCTGCTTTCATTAACGTTCGTTGAATGAGATTTTTTCAATGTTTGCAGTCCCAGAAGTTTTGGGAATCGACAATGGACCACCATTAAACGCATGGGATTTTGCTAGCTTTTGCAATTGGACATTCGGACATTTCTCACATCACAAGCAGTCCTAAGTATCCCAGAAGTAACGCATTGAGATGACACCATTGGAACAAGACCCCTGAGAAACCTCACAGATGATAATGTTAGTACCTATAGCTGGTTGTTTCCTAGGAAACAACCAGCTATAGGTACTAACATTATCATCTGTGAGAGTAATCTGTAATGTGTATGTAACTTATATTGTATCGGGAAATTCCTTGTTTTCTGTCGCATTGACATTTGTTATTCATAACAATTTGTTTTGTCATTGCTATGTCTGTAGGGGTAGGTTGGGTAATAAAAGTACACTCGAGGCTCGGGTAAGAAAAGAACACCCGTTAAATCTCTGAACTGAAACTACACTGAACCATCACGTTAGTGGTTTTAGAATGATTGGTCATCCCGCTGACAAAAAAAAATTTAGCCCAGTTCTACATATTATAATATTTAGAATCAAACTGCACGTTTGAAAAAACATTAAAAAAAATAACTATGAAAATCTTTTTTTTAAATGTTTGTACTTTAAAGTACAGCTTCCTGCAGAATCAGCCGACAGTCCAATGTAAGGTACCACCTTATAGCTTAGACCATCATCTTTGAAAAACAGTGCCGTTCGATGCTCTTAGGCTTCAATACAATTTTTAACAAGTGTAAAAATGAAATGGGGAAGTAAAGTACAGTCGGCTGGGGAAGAAAAGTACAGGCATTGGGGAAGAAAAGAACACCCTCTAAGAAACTAAAAGCGGGATGAAAATTGAATTGATCACGGAAATAGATTTGATTAGGCGAGACAAGCAAAAAATGTCAACACAAGTTATAGAATTAGACTAGAAATAAACAAGTTATTGGGCATTTACGTGAAAAGGGGAAGAAAAGTACAAAAATGCTGTACCCACTTATCTCTGAGAAACGGCTTCTTGGACCTTCTGTGATGAGTCCATGTAGAATCAGAACCAATTGACCGATTTTGACGAAACTTGAACTAATGGCAAGTGAAAGCTCTCCACTTTAGGGGTAAACGTGTATTGAGCCAAGATTGGTGGTCTCCTACTTCGAAATCGCAATTCTTTTCGTTGTACTTTTCTTTCCCGGTGGTGTACTTTTCTTACCCTTTTCGAGGAGTTCCGAAATCACATACATTTCAGCATGTTGTACGTAATGTGGGGAACTATAATCAATGCACAGTGATCCATTTCATTAGGAAGGCATTGGATTACAAGTTCACGAGAGCAGAATAGTTGAATCCTCATTTGCAACTTCTGTACAGTGCAAAGTACGCGTTTTGTACTTTTCTTCCCCAACCTACCCCTACCTTATTCTTTTACATTCATTTTGTTATTGTTTCTTGGTCATTGGTATGTTACGTGTATTTCTTCCACTCGTTTTCTCAGTGTTGTGTTATTTATATTTTTACATTTGCTTTGCAAATTGGCATGTTTATCAATTTTTACCGTTTTCAAGCTAATAAGTCTAGAAATAGAGGTTTTTGAACCCATCACCGTTAGCAAGACGCGTTTCATGGCAGGGGCGATATACTGCATACTTATTTGCATGTTTAGTCGTCAATTCTCGCTCTCAGCTCAGGAGAAGACTGCTGCCTCTGAAACGGCTGTGTTTGTTGTGACAGAGCATATCCAGGTATGGTTTCTATCAAGAATTTCTGCTGTGGCACCGAGAACTGACTTGGAGTACCTCAAAACCATCACCAGAGATGTACTTCGCAACAAGAAGAATGATGCTCGGAAGACCATGTGGAAAACTGCGGGGGGGAAATTTTTGGGACATTTGTGGTATCTGTGCCCTGAACTGGCCACTTTGGCTTTATTTGATAGACAGGTAGACCAGGAGACCAAACTGTCTATTGTGGCTGCGATGAATGCAGGGGAGGACATGGAGGAAGACGATTTGCCTAATAAGGGGTTCATAGTCAAGTTAGAAAATTCGGTATTGTCATTGACACTTCCCAGTTTTGTTAACGCAGGGTCCAAATATTTCTTCCACAAGTTGGGTGTCCAGCCTGACTTTTTATCTTTGCACCCATCAGAATGGCCTTCTAACAGTAATTTTAAGGAAATTGAAGTCCTCGTCAAAAACCTCCCTGTTGTAAATGACGCAGCGGAGAGGAATGTGAGAATAGCAACAGATTTCCACAATATACTCACAAAAAATGAAGACCAAAGACAAGGCTTGTTCCTCAATGTTGCAAACGACCGCAAAAGTGTTAGTCAAAAATAAACTTAATTATGCTTGTCATTTCAGTAATGTGCAACTTTAACCAAACAATTCTATTGAGTTTTCAGATGTGATATTTCTAATTACCAAATGCTAAGGTGCCATGTGCCATATTAAACATTTAACGTGAAATAAATAAAAAAAATCAAAGTGAGAACGTTATTTTTACCATCCAGAAACCCCTTAAAATACACAAAAACTACAAAAATCGGTATTATTTATTAGCGATCGGTACTAAACTTAGTGGGATCGCTTCCAAAATGTTACCAGATTATTGATGAAGTGATTTTGAGCAGTTTTTGTTCCCTTAAAATTTTTGTAGGCCGCCCCTGGGACGAGATACGGGCAAAATTAGGGTATTTTCCGGCCTTTTGGGCGTTTGAAATTTCCCGCCCTCTGCGCGACCCCTAAATTACGTCGCAGCGACTTCCGGTTTTTTTCTATAAGTTTCTCTTGACCCAAAAATACTTTTGCCGTGCTAGCCCGTTGACAAACTTCAACTTACCGGAAACGGTCGGGGTCCACGGCCACCTGGCGGATGAAGGCCGCTGCCTCGTCGCCGCAGTCCACCGCGGACACGGCGCTGCCCCAAACCCTGGCGTGACATTTGTGGCAGGTCAGCTCAATGCACAATGGTAGTGTCAATTTACTATCCATATGTATGGTCGTATTTTTGCATACGAAACTGAAATTGGGGACAATTTTTCCATATTACGTATGCTGAAGTACTTTAAAAATACGCTGAACAGGTACCGGCCTATTTTATGTAACATTTTTTAAATATGTACAAATATGGCAATAGTTTTCGACAAAAGTACAGGAATTCAGCTTCATGTGCAAGGGGTCTGCCACTTCTTGCACTCAGTGTGCGTGTCCAGCCTACTCCCACTCACTTAGATTTTAGCTAAACAAGGTAGGTTTACGCCAGACCGCGTCTTGTCGTAACAGGCTTCGCGATGTCTCGCGGCCTGTTCCTCCAATCCGCGCCTGGCGTACCTACCTTGGCCTGCGGCGCTAGCCTGCCTTCGGCAGGCATTGGCTTGTCCATCGTCGGTTACTTCTTACGTGTTGCATGCTGTGGGGCTCCGCCCCCCAGACCCCCCTTAATTCTAGAAAGAGTTGCTTAATCTACAGATAACACGATCTTGACCCTTGTAACTTTTTAACTTGTCGAGGCTGGGGGGCTCCGCCCCCCAGACCCCCTTTCTTCAAGACAGAGGTGATCTACCTGCAAAAAAACTCGATTTTTCGCCGTTTTTTAGGTGTTTTTCGGCTATAAAAACTGAACCGGTTGAGCTAGGACAGTGAAATTTCGCGTGTGCCGAGCCAAAAACATACCTAATAAGCCTGCAAAATCTCAGCCAGATCGGCCGAGCCGTTCAGGAGGAGTAGTGTACACACACACACACACACACACGGACACACAGACAGACAAAACTTTTCAACCGCGCTGGAGTAACGGGCTTCGCTATCGCTCAGCCAAAAAACACCTGTAACCACCTGTAAGTAGGCAGCACTGAAAATAAAAAGGTGAGTCATTTGACTCTTTAAGGGATACTGAAATGTACGACCAAAAAAGGGACATACTTAAATGTATGACCGAAAAATGGTCAATTTATTTTGTGATACATCACCAAGCTAAAGGAGAGCCAGCCTGTTTCGCTGGTGTCTGACCTTTTTACGGTCATACATTTAAGTTTGACATTCTTGCGGTCACACATTTGGCTTTGGCTTTTTTTTTCAGTCACACCTTTTGTATGACCAAAAGTTGGTCAGATGTCCATTCTTTGAATTGCAGTGAATTTGTGGGACAAACGCCTGAGAGAAGGCAGAAAAGTTTGACATGGCTGGCTGAGTTGAGTGCACTGTGGGAAAAAATCACAGTAAATCCTGTAGTGATTAGTACAGCTGTCACTGTAGTTTAGAGTACAGGATTTACTGTACTTTTTTAACAGGATCTACTGTACTTTGTACGGGATTTACTGTACCACAGGAGTGAAGTACGGAATATCCTGTAGCAGGTACAGTAGATACTGTAGCCAGGCACGGTAAATCCTGTGTTCTGAACTACAGTAAATCCCAGCAAAAAAATTAACGGGATTCACTGTGATTTTTTCGCACAGTGTGGAATGAGAGTGGATCCACCACCGCTGCAAGGGGCACCACTCACGTTATTTTCCTGCACGTCTGCGTCTTGAGCTGGGCAGTGTCGAGGATAAGAGGCTGGTCCGCCAGTGGGCTGCGCATCTCCACGACGTCCTGGTTCTGGTCGCCGTCCTGGCCAGCCACGGCCTTGGCCACGGCCACCACCGAGACCGTCATCAGGCCGGTGTGGCTGCGGCCTGTGACGAAGCGGCCGTTGCGGTCTACCGCCACAAACGACCTGGCAAGCGAGATTTATGTTTGAACCGGTGCACTGGTAAAACTGACGCGTAGTTGTAAGCTTCATTCAAGCATACAACTACGCTTAGTTTTACCAGTTGTTTAATCCATCAATGTGATTCGGAGAAAGCCCACTGTTTAGGAAGTTCCCAGTATCGCCGCTAGAGGGCTCCTGTGGTCAAGCCACCACGCCGTACTGCGTACTAACGTCAGTAGTCATCAAGGAATTACAGCCGCTTTTTAGCAGATGATACCTTTTCTTAAAAACATACCTTAAACTAACTACAAGACATATAAAGGTGTCAGCTAGCTTTTACTCGAGAGTCCAAAAACCTAGTGCATATTCTAACAATATAATGGGGGCTGGCTGCCGGGGCGGGATGGTGCGTCTGTCTGTCTGGCTGGCTGTGCCTGCCTGCGCCGCAGCCTGCGCGGAATTCGACAATGGCACCCCCTTCTGGCGCGCGGCGGCCGGGCCTGCGCGCAACATTGACCATCCCTCCCCGCTACACTGTGGCAAAAAGCTACGGAAAATTCTGTAAACAGCTTGTGGTAATTCTCCGTAGGCCCCTTATCAATATTCTCCGTAGGCTCTTACAGTATTTTCTGTAGGACCGCACAGTCTTCTCCGTAAGACCTTACAGTGATCTCCGTAGGACTATACAGTCTTCGAGGTCCTACGGGGAAGACTGTGCGGACTTACAGAGAATACTGTATGGCCCTACGGAGAATACTGTAAGAGCCTACGGAGAATATTGATAAGAGGGCTACGGAGAATACTGGCAAAAAATTAACAGGATTTTCCGTACCTTTTTGCCACAGTGATACAGCGCAGATGCACCGCGTGCTCGCAATCCAACGGGCACGGCGCGGTGGTGGTGCAGGCCACGGCACAAAGGACTCAGTTTTTAACAGATGATACCTTTGCTTTAAAACATACACCTAAAACTATTAAATACTATCTTTGGAATGAGCCCATACTACCCCGTAGAAGAAAACCAAACGAGTATCATCTGCTTTCATTAACGTTCGTTGAATGACTATCTTTGGAATGAGCCCATACTACCCCGTAGAAGAAAACCAAACGAGTATCATCTGCTTTCATTAACGTTCGTTGAATGAGATTTTTTTCAATGTTTGCAGTCCCAGAAGTTTTGGGAATCGACAATGGACCACCATTAAACGCATGGGATTTTGCTAGCTTTTGCAATTGGACATTCGGACATTTCTCACATCACAAGCAGTCCTAAGTATCCCAGAAGTAACGCATTGAGATGACACCATTGGAACAAGACCCCTGAGAAACCTCACAGATGATAATGTTAGTACCTATAGCTGGTTGTTTCCTAGGAAACAACCAGCTATAGGTACTAACATTATCATCTGTGAGAGTAATCTGTAATGTGTATGTAACTTATATTGTATCGGGAATTCCTTGTTTTCTGTCGCATTGACATTTGTTATTCATAACAATTTGTTTTGTCATTGCTATGTCTGTAGGGGTAGGTTGGGTAATAAAAGTACACTCGAGGCTCGGGTAAGAAAAGAACACCCGTTAAATCTCTGAACTGAAACTACACTGAACCATCACGTTAGTGGTTTTAGAATGATTGGTCATCCCGCTGACAAAAAAAAATTTAGCCCAGTTCTACATATTATAATATTTAGAATCAAACTGCACGTTTGAAAAACATTAAAAAAAATAACTATGAAAATCTTTTTTTTAAATGTTTGTACTTTAAAGTACAGCTTCCTGCAGAATCAGCCGACAGTCCAATGTAAGGTACCACCTTATAGCTTAGACCATCATCTTTGAAAAACAGTGCCGTTCGATGCTCTTAGGCTTCAATACAATTTTTAACAAGTGTAAAAATGAAATGGGGAAGTAAAGTACAGTCGGCTGGGGAAGAAAAGTACAGGCATTGGGGAAGAAAAGAACACCCTCTAAGAAACTAAAAGCGGGATGAAAATTGAATTGATCACGGAAATAGATTTGATTAGGCGAGACAAGCAAAAAATGTCAACACAAGTTATAGAATTAGACTAGAAATAAACAAGTTATTGGGCATTTACGTGAAAAGGGGAAGAAAAGTACAAAAATGCTGTACCCACTTATCTCTGAGAAACGGCTTCTTGGACCTTCTGTGATGAGTCCATGTAGAATCAGAACCAATTGACCGATTTTGACGAAACTTGAACTAATGGCAAGTGAAAGCTCTCCACTTTAGGGGTAAACGTGTATTGAGCCAAGATTGGTGGTCTCCTACTTCGAAATCGCAATTCTTTTCGTTGTACTTTTCTTTCCCGGTGGTGTACTTTTCTTACCCTTTTCGAGGAGTTCCGAAATCACATACATTTCAGCATGTTGTACGTAATGTGGGGAACTATAATCAATGCACAGTGATCCATTTCATTAGGAAGGCATTGGATTACAAGTTCACGAGAGCAGAATAGTTGAATCCTCATTTGCAACTTCTGTACAGTGCAAAGTACGCGTTTTGTACTTTTCTTCCCCAACCTACCCCTACCTTATTCTTTTACATTCATTTTGTTATTGTTTCTTGGTCATTGGTATGTTACGTGTATTTCTTCCACTCGTTTTCTCAGTGTTGTGTTATTTATATTTTTACATTTGCTTTGCAAATTGGCATGTTGATCAATTTTCACCGTTGTCAAGCTAATAAGTCTAGAAATAGAGGTTTTTGTACGGTTTCATTTTTTGTATCAATTAAGGTGTTTGAAGTATTTAAGTTTTGGTACTATGTTAAGCCTTCTCTTCGGAATGTTAGATTTAAGCTCGCTTCAAGTTTTTTCTTTAAAAGCTATGTAAGTGTAGTGTAGGGCACTATAAGTGAGAAGGACGGGTAAAGGACGATAGTGAGTAGAGGTTCACTTGGTTTATTGAGGGGTCCGCACAGCTCGGGACTAGGCCACCGACTGTTGGCCAGCTCTGAGGAGCGGTCCAATTTATAGTTTGGGCAACAGTGACACCTTGCTAGGTGGGTGCTTTCAGAAAGCGAGACAATAGTGGAACCTTGGCCAAGGAAGGGGAGTCCATACCAGAGTCAGGAAGAAGAATAGAAATCAGAACTGACACTTGTTGCTTTTCACTTTGTACTGACTGTAAATCGCTACACCACTCCCCCTTAAAAAGAAATTCAAAATTACTTGTTGCCTCAAACTTTACAATTCGTTTAGCTCAAATCTTCCCACGTTGAACCTGTCAATTACTATCACACCTAGGCCAACTCAGGGCAAGGCTGTCCAGACCTTCCCTGACACGCCGTCAGTGATCAAAATAATTTAAAATAAAATGTAGCATTGCTGGTCCTCTAGATAGAGTGGCTATGTCAGCGACGCTCATGGCACGTCCAAAGAACTCGTTAAGGACGCCGTCCTGAGGTGCAACTGTCGCACCTGACCAGCAATAAGAAATTGATTAGTCTGCTTCTGCTTCTGAAGGTTTCTGGGTCTTGGATATGGTCGTTCAGTATCACTTGAAGCTCTGGGTCTCGGAGACTGAGGTTATAATTTCTTTGAAGCTCTAGGAGGTGTTGTCGCGGCTGTCGCTGGAAGTTCTGGGATGTGTTGCAGTTCTCGTAGTTTTCTCCTGGAAACACACAAAACACTCTGCACAGTATTTTTGCCACCTATTCCCCCCTAACTAAAAGAGTGGGTGTTTTGCCTTGGTGTTTCCTAATCCCTGACTAGCTAGCTAAAATCCTATCTAAAAACACCATTGAAATCTAAGAAACCTATGAATTGCACTTCAGCTCGAATACTTAACTTTGAACAAGACAGGGTACGGCTTTCCATGGCACAGCAGATGACTGAAGGCTGCAACTGGTGCGAAGTTCTGGTAGTCATCTCACTGGCCTGAAAGTCTTGTTGCAAAACTCTTGACCTGACAATGTCTTCTGCTTGACAACTTGGATTTTCTCAATGTCTGACTTCTGAACTTGTACTCATTGACTGTACTGACTCCATGAACTGACTGTAGTAAATGTTAATAATGTATCAAATTTTTAAGTGATAAAATTTTCAAGACTGACTTTAAAAACTGGTGGTGAGTACTTCCACTTTTTCATTTAGTTTTGAACTTTTGACTCGAACACTTCAGTGACTAACTTGACTTTTGTTTTCCAGTACACCTTTTGACTCCAGTTGGACTAGTGGAAATAACCTGTCTTTCACATGTAAACAGAGAGAACCTAGTGCTCACCCTGCAGCATAAAACGTTTTCATGTCTTGTTAATTTAGTGCCAGTGTTTCCTAGAGTAATTGAGTCGTGAAACACAAAAGCGCGGTAAGGGACTTGACCCACAAACGGGCTTACTTTGTGTTTTGTTTGTGTAGAAAGCACTCAACGCGGCCAAAAGGCGGGTTACGAGTGTTCCTCTAAAATTTGTTTCAAGCATTTGACCTTTGTTGGGAGAGTCCAAAAGGGGTACCAGGAACAAAAGGGTTGTCAACAGTTATTATTTTATATTTCAAAATTTTCAATTAGATGTTTAAAATTCAAAAGCATTAAACGAGTTCAGTTCAATATAGAAGTTACTGCGTTTGGTACAGAATTGGGTTTCAGGCAAACTTTTCAACATGACACGAGGAAAACAAGACATTCATTTACTTTTAAAGGCACACATGACACCTGACTGGACCGGTACATATGAAAAGGTAAGTTTCACACTATTATTCAGTTTTACATTGAGTAAAAAGACCCGTTTTAACTCTATCACTCCTTTGCAGATTTGTAACACTCTGAGGCTGGATCACATCACTTTCTCTTTGCTTCACTTCAATACTTTTTGGCCATTCCTTGATCGTTTCTGGATGCAGGACTTCCACTCTCTTTGCTTGTCCTCATCCTCCTTCATGGTGACGCTCACAGAAACCTGTCAGACAACTACTACGCAATGAAGTACCAGGATGTGGACAGTATCCGTGGCATTCTTTTTGGTGTATCGTCATCCCAGGCTTCTCGTGGCTCATCCATGCGCTGGTCTCCACCAGCTCATCAGCCTTTCACTTTTTGTCAACCAGGTTTGTCAACTTTTCACCATCTTTCACTTTTCATCAACTTTTGGTTCACTTTTCATCATTTCTTTGCACTGCTCTCTGTCAGCAAACCCTCAGTTTCTGACCTCCAATGCAACGGGACTTTTTATTCTGGACCAGGCTTAACACATCTGTCCTTTTACAAACTCTATAAACTTTTTCTTTACCGTCAATTACTCTTCAAATTTTATTCATCGGTCCAGACTGGTTCCTGTGTGTTGTAATAATTCTGTTAGCTTCTTTTGTGTCTAATCATTATGTTGTTTCTCTCTTTTCTTTCCAGACTAATAGTCGTCTTCTCCTTCATACTCATATTCTTCTTCGTCTTCTTCTGCTACTGCCAGCTTCACCCTTTTGGTAGGACTCTCTTTTGGAGCCAAGAGCAAGCCCCTGTTGAGATTCTTCACCGCATCAGCCAGTGTGTTGCAGGAGGCAAAGGCAAGGCATTCTGCTGCATGCCTGTCATGAAGACCTTTCACAAAGGCCGTTACTAGAGCCTCTTGTAAATCTGATTCAGCGTATGATGGCATATACTCTCTGCCAACTCTCTCCAGCTCCCGAGCGAAATCCTGTATTGTCTGTTCTGGTTTTTGCACCAAAGATTCAAAGTTTCTTTTCCGCTGCCAAAGTGACGTTTTTGCTGTGAACATTTTCTTCAGAATGTCATCCAATGCTTCCAGTGTAGGCGACTTTTTCTGCTGGTCCAGCATTGGCAAGACCATCAATGCTTTGCCTCGTAGAGCTGCAATGAGCTTTTGTTCTTGCTCCACTCTTGACAGTTTGTTCGTTATGGCCTGGAATTGACTCCGCCACATGGAATAGCAAATTTCGCCATCATATTCAGGAACACGAACGTAGTTACTGGGCGCCTGCTGAGCTTGGAACTGCTGTTGCTGTTGTAACTGCTGCTGCTCCAGCCATTGTTGAAATTGCTGCTGCTGCGTCGTCATTATTTGTGTCACCATTTCGAGGACTCCCGGCGGGACGTGACGCACATCCTCTTCTTGCTCGTTCTGCTCTTCTTCATCTCCATCTTGAACTCGTCGGGGAAGACGTCCACGAGCACGAGCCGCACCACGGCCTCGGCCACGACCACGGCCTCGACCGCGACCTCTGCCGCGCCCTCGGCCTGCAGGCGGCGCGTCGTCGGCTTCGGCCTGCTCACGGGGAAGGCCATCCGGCTCAGGCTGCTCGTTGGCGTTGGCCCGCTCTTCGTCTGGTTCGGGACCAACGCGAGCATCTTGTCTACGGGACGGCTGCATAATACAGCGATGTCTTGTGAACTTGTGTTTTCTTTTCCGTGTACTTCCCCTGAAATTCCCTTGACCTAACGACGGTAACTAGCACGAGCGCGAGCGAGCTCTGCTTCTCAGTTCCGTCCACTCACTCCGTGTCTTAACAGCACGTTTTTACAAACTGCTTTCGTTAATCCACCTCTTTTACGTTATCCGAACAGCTCTTGTGCTTACGTTTGAAACAGCGCACTCCTGAGTGGTTTACGTTTCAAACAGCGCCAGGCTTACGTTCGTCTAACCCTTTCAAACTGTCAACTGATCAGCACAAATAATAGGCTTACGACCAGCTAACCCAAGCGCTCAGAGAAGTGTAGGACTGCACAGACTGGTAGTGGCTTACGCTCCACAAGAAAGCAGCACGACTATCCAGCCAGGCAATACCTCCTTACACCTCCTACAGGGCCGACACGACCCGTCTACTCAATCACACGTCACTCTCTCGTCCTCCTTCAAAAACGTAGGGAAAACCCACGCAATATCGCCAGTTTAACCGCTGTCACCACTTGTAGTGTAGGGCACTATAAGTGAGAAGGACGGGTAAAGGACGATAGTGAGTAGAGGTTCACTTGGTTTATTGAGGGGTCCGCACAGCTCGGGACTAGGCCACCGACTGTTGGCCAGCTCTGAGGAGCGGTCCAATTTATAGTTTGGGCAACAGTGACACCTTGCTAGGTGGGTGCTTTCAGAAAGCGAGACAATAGTGGAACCTTGGCCAAGGAAGGGGAGTCCATACCAGAGTCAGGAAGAAGAATAGAAATCAGAACTGACACTTGTTGCTTTTCACTTTGTACTGACTGTAAATCGCTACATAAGCATCCTTTTTCTTTTCAATAAAAGAGGGATGTTTGGGATGTTCCCAGTGATGTACTCCACTACGGTGTGTATACCCCGCGCTCCTTGTGGTTCCGGCTTCTGCCGTTAGCGCTAGCGCTGTTGGCTTCCTACTTCCGCACTGAGTCGCGCTCTATCGGAGCTTCAATCAGTGTATCCTCCAGCCAGTCCGAAATATACCACCGTACCGTCAACAAGTGCCTTTTCTACTACCCAACTACACAACACCCAGTATCGCCGCTAGAGGGCACCTGTAGTCAAACCACCACACCGTACTGCGTTCTGACCAGAGCTGTCAGTTCTGTCTTGGCCTTAGAGCATTAAACATCCTAAGCTAACGAACGTGTGTCTCTCAGTAACCAGTCCCGTTCACCACACCCACCTGTCCCGCAGCAGCCCCAGGGTGGGCCCGGCCTCCCTGGCCGTCAGCTTGTCGGCGGCGACCGGCTTGCCGGACTTGAGGGGGAACAGGTAGAGCTCGCTGAGCGTGCCGACGCGCCGCCACTCGGAGTCCGCGGGGATCTTGTGCTTGAGCAGTCTGCGTGTCACCGCCACTCCCAGTGCTGCGACGCCGACCACAGCCACAGCAGCAAAAGCCACGCTGTGGCCTGCCAAAGACAAAAAATACAACTTCCGCTAGGATTTTGAACCGTCACCACAGAGATCGAAAGGGTAAGTAAGACATCTGTGCTAGGTTTGAAAATGCCCGGAAAGTTTCCAGAAACATTGAAAAAAACAGTGTTTTTCTCCGGTTTTTTCCCTGGCCTCGGAAAAATTGGAAAGATTCAGCCTGAAAAGTAGGCAAAAAGTCGGGCATTTCGCCTGAAAGTAGGCTAAAAGCATACCTTTATCCCTATGTGAACACGATTCTCAGTGCACTCATACTACTAATACCCTGTTATGATTCCTTCTCGTGCGTTTTTTTGAGCTTGCTGTTGTGAACCTCGGGTTGTCAGTATAAGTTAAGTTGTAACAAAGCACAAAAATAGAAGTTCACAGTGCTTAAAAACTAATTTTTCCTTTTTTCCCAATTTTCTGTTTTTTTTTTCAACTTTTCCGGTTTTTTTCCGACCATTTGAAAGTTTCCGGAAAATTTGCATCTCTAATCTGTGCATTTTTCGGCAACTTCAAAAGTAAACTGCTACCAATAACTACCACAAACGTACACAAATTTCTGGCAAATTTTTTATCAGGATTTTATTGTACATTCGAAGTACAACAATTGTTCTACAAAGTACAATGGAACCGGCATGACGAGTGCTGTGCAGTCCAGGCCTCGTTGTGGTTTGAACCATTCTCGATGTACTTTATCCGTGTTGTAATTTTAAAGTACAGTTTATGTTCTACTTTTGATGTACTTTTCACACTTCCTTGCAGTATATCACCGATAAAAGGTCACAGGCTATTTTGATGCCACATTTCCAAAACGCTTGAAGTCAAGCGTTATAACCACCACGCTTGGGGAAAGGCCCAGAAGTACGCTCTTGAGCGATTCTCACGTTTCGGGGTAGTTTTGGCGTCTCTGATTTGCCGAAGGTGAGAAATATCCAATTAAGTTTTTCTGATTATTGGGGTCCTGGATGATACTAGAGTTATGGCAATGGTATTTATAGTAAAGACCTTGTACTACCTTCCTAAAAACATGAGCCATAAGATATTCCCATACGTTTTAGTGGTTGTTTTGATCACGGAAATTACGTTATCACGGAAGTTACAAAGTGTGAAAATCGGCTTTAACGGCTGACTCGGGCCTGCTGTGGCTTAAAAATCGTTCCAGGGTCAAATGATACTCTAAGCCCGACATTTAAGCGGAAAATTTTTTCACCAAGTGCTGCTGCAACATTGGGTAAAGGGTGCCACGGAAGTTACAGGTAATTGTTGATACACGCCATTTTATAATGCTCTAGCCCGCTTTGAGACCGTGTACAGCATCTTAGATTTCCGCGACCCATGCAATTATATTCCAGGGACTCCACTTTGATGGCTTGTGTCATGGAAAGTTTAAAGTTTGGCTTGGGGAGAAGTCCAGAGCTGCCTTTTCGAAATTTGTGTAGTGAAATTGAATGTACGGTGGACATTTTTCGTTACAGCATAAGTACCTTTGAAAGAAG